CTTCCAGAGCCATTTTTGTGTCCTGACCACCAGTTGGAAATCAGAAATTCAACAACTTTGTTCTACAAAAAACTGAATTTGAACAAATGGTGCATACCAAAATACTCGTAGAGACTCCCTCTTTCATTTGGTACCATCACTTTGTTCGAGGTTTATATAGGGAGGCTTCCAGAGCCATTTTTGTGTCCTGACCACCAGTTGGAAATCAGAAATTCAACAACTTTGTTCTACAAAAAACTGAATTTGAACATATGGTGCATACCAAAATACTCGTAGAGACTCCCTCTTTCATTTGGTACCATCACTTTGTTCGAGGTTTGTATATGGAGTCTTCCAGAGCCATTTTTGTGTCCTGACCACCAGTTGGAAATCAGAAATTCAACAACTTTGTTCTACAAAAAACTGAATTTGAACAAATGGTGCATAACAAAATACTCGTAGAGACTTCCTCTTTCATTTGGTACCATCACTTTGTTCGAGGTTTGTATATGGAGTCTTCCAGAGCCATTTTTGTGTCCTGACCACCAGTTGGAAATCAGAAATTCAACAACTTTGTTCTACAAAAAACTGAATTTGAACAAATGGTGCATACCAAAATACTCGTAGAGACTCCCTCTTTCATTTGGTACCATCACTTTGTTCGAGGTTTATATAGGGAGGCTTTCAGAGCCATTTTTGTGTCCTGACAACCAGTTGGAAATCAGAAATTCAACAACTTTGTTCTACAAAAAACTGAATTTGAACATATGGTGGATACCAAAATACTCGTAGAGACTCCCTCTTTCATTTGGTACCATCACTTCAATTCAACAACTTTGTTCTACAAAAAAACTGAATTTGAACAAATGGTGCATACCAAAATACTCGTAGAGACTCCCTCTTTCATTTGGTACCATCACTTTGTTCGAGGTTTATATAGGGAGGCTTCCAGAGCCATTTTTGTGTCCTGACCACCAGTTGGAAATCAGAAATTCAACAACTTTGTTCTACAAAAAACTGAATTTGAACATATGGTGGATACCAAAATACTCGTAGAGACTCCCTCTTTCATTTGGTACCATCACTTTGTTCGAGGTTTGTATATGGAGTCTTCCAGAGCCATTTTTGTGTCCTGACCACCAGTTGGAAATCAGAAATTCAACAACTTTGTTCTACAAAAAACTGAATTTGAACAAATGGTGCATACCAAAATACTCGTAGAGACTCCCTCTTTCATTTGGTACCATCACTTTGTTCGAGGTTTATATAGGGAGGCTTCCAGAGCCATTTTTGTGTCCTGACCACCAGTTGGAAATCAGAAATTCAACAACTTTGTTCTACAAAAAACTGAATCTGAACATATGGTGGATACCAAAATACTCGTAGAGACTCCCTCTTTCATTTGGTACCATCACTTTTTTCGAGGTTTGTATATGGAGTCTTCCAGAGCCATTTTTGTGTCCTGACCACCAGTTGGAAATCAGAAATTCAACAACTTTGTTCTACAAAAAACTGAATTTGAACATATGGTGGATACCAAAATACTCGTAGAGACTCCCTCTTTCATTTGGTACCATCACTTTGTTCGAGGTTTGTATATGGAGTCTTCCAGAGCCATTTTTGTGTCCTGACCACCAGTTGGAAATCAGAAATTCAACAACTTTGTTCTACAAAAAACTGAATTTGAACAAATGGTGCATACCAAAATACTCGTAGAGACTCCCTCTTTCATTTGGTACCATCACTTTGTTCGAGGTTTATATAGGGAGGCTTCCAGAGCCATTTTTGTGTCCTGACCACCAGTTGGAAATCAGAAATTCAACAACTTTGTTCTACAAAAAACTGAATTTGAACATATGGTGCATACCAAAATACTCGTAGAGACTCCCTCTTTCATTTGGTACCATCACTTTGTTCGAGGTTTGTATATGGAGTCTTCCAGAGCCATTTTTGTGTCCTGACCACCAGTTGGAAATCAGAAATTCAACAACTTTGTTCTACAAAAAACTGAATTTGAACAAATGGTGCATAACAAAATACTCGTAGAGACTTCCTCTTTCATTTGGTACCATCACTATGTTCGAGGTTTATATAGGGAGGCTTCCAGAGGCGGACATCTCTCCTGATTCACTGGATTAAAATGTTTGTGACTTAGTAATACTTTAGTTTTAGATTATAATAAAATATGTTTCAAAATCTTCGTATTTTTATTAGTTTTCATTACTAATGAATTATGTTAACATTTTTATTAATAATTTTAAAAAATTATTAATTTATAATATTCTGCGCTATCTCTGTTGGAAAGCACTGTTGATAAAAATAGTATTAAACGTGAAATTGTGATGTTCTGTGTCACCCTGTAATTTCGATAAAAATTGTGTTATCGAAAGTTAGCGATATCGCTAACTTCACGCAGGTAATATATTTTAACTTTTTGCGTGCGTTAACGCGATAACAAAAAACGCTCAACGCGAACTTTATGTTTAGCCCTTAATAACACCTGTCTGGTCCTTTTATATTAGCTGTGTTCCCAAACATGCAATATAGTACTATATTGTACTAGTTTTGCAATTTTTGCTAGAAAAGCGATCCCTTACGCCGAAAAGTAGGACAATTTGAAGTTAAATTTAAGAGAGTTAAAACCAAAATGACGTTCTCTTGAGCGCTTCAACAAAAGGGACACACGTACAGACGCACACACAAGTAAGGAATTAAAAAATGGACAAACAGGTTTTTTATTCTCTTTTGGAGGATAGCGAAGATGAATGGCTGGCAGAAGATTCAGATGAAGATACTATAGAAAGAAGACCTGGGTTGGGAACATGCATATGTTCCGAAATTTCAAGGCCAATATCTCGGGATATCACAGTAATCAGCTCCAAGGAGGGCTACTAACGGTAATCATTTTAAAATGATCCGAGTGGAGCCCCTAAGCTTGACTTCTTCCATATCTTGTTGTTCTAGTGCGCTAAAACAATGCAATCAAAATATCTACAAATTTCAATAGCATCAACATTATGGGAGCGTCCAACCATGTAAGCCTTTCCGGGCTTGGAGTCGTCGGAAACTCCACTTCCAAATATTCGATAATGTTTTCCTATAAATTATGCAAATAAAAAATAACTATTAATATAATCAAAATCACACAATGGACGCCGTTTAACTTTTTGTTTCTTTGTGTGCATTAGGTTTCTGTAGTCTTTTTTTTTGTCCTTAACTGATGAATTTTTTGATTTGGACGTTTCTTCATGTTTTAACTATTTTCCGTTTCTTTACTTTTTGCGCAAATCTTGTATGTTAGAGTAATTTTTGATAGTTCGCTCTTTTACTAGCTTTACTATCAAAAAGTACGGGAACGAACCTATTATATTAATACTAGCCTAAATAGCTATGTTTGGTACCATTCATGGTACAATTATAAAAGGTAACAGCAAATCCCAGCTGATTTGATTCCAACGTAATACTAGTGTCAATATGAATTCGACAAATTATGTTTTTAAAATCACCCAACAGGAAAATTGGGAACGCATACAATTTGAAATTGTTCTTTATTAAATGTGCTCCCGTATTCAATTTACTCAATCTGCCTGCTGGGAAAGTTTGAGGAAGCAAATCTTCGTTCTGGGAATAACTCGCTATTCCCAGCATTTTCATATGTGTTACACATATATATGGCAATGGCTCAATCATAGGAAAGATGTGGAAGCGATAGAAATATAAATTTGATATATTTTCATTCATGTTTTTCAATTTTTATTTTGAGGATTCGAAAATATTTCATTTTCAAAATAAAAATAATTTGATGATAATTTGTTTGTTTGTTTACATTTTTCTGTCAAATGAGTTGACACTAGTAGAACTTACAACAACAAATTTCCATGTGGTTGTTGTATCGTTTTTTGTACAACAACACTTTCTGTTACCTTCTATTATTATACCATGATTAAATGTGCTCCCGTATTCAACTTATGGTCTGTTCCCGTACTGCAAGAATCTACTCGATTTTACTATTTTTTTCGATATCATAAAGGAAAAATGTGTTATCGGAGTAAAAAATAGTACATTCTTTCAGTACGGGAACAGACCATTACTCAATCTACCTGCTGGGAATGTTTGAGGAAGCAAATCTTTCTTCAAGGAACAACTCGCTATTCCCTGCCTTTTCATATGTGTTACACATATATTTGGCAATGGCTCAATTTAGGAAAGATGTGGAAGCGATAGAAATATAAATTTGATAGATTTTCATTCATATTTTACAATTTTTATTTTGAGGATTCGAAAATATTTCATTTTAAAAATAAAAATAATTTGATGATAATTTGTTTGTTTGTTAACATTTTTCTGTCAAATGAGTTGACACTAGTAGAACTTACAACAACAAATTTCCACGTGGTTGTTGTATCCTTTTTTTACAACAACACTTGCTGTTACCTTCTATTATTATACCATGGGTACCATTAAGATGTAAAGTTATTATAATATACTGTTAAAAATAGATTCATTCATTAGAATTGCATACGCAACATGACTTATCTTTATTGCCTTATATTTGACGTATATTATTTAAAAAATATATTTTGAAAATATTTTTATATAGGAACAGGATAATATATTTTTTAGTGTTTTTGTTTCAAATATCAACTTTTTGAGAACTCCATTCTCCATCACTACTACCCTAATAAGTGTACCATGGCAGAAGTTATTGGGAAATGAGTTCACATGATCATAAAATGTCAACACTTGAAATGTAGATGGCGCTTTTTGTGGTAAATAGTTTTAATAAAAACCATCAGTTTTAAAAGCATTTTTTAAACATATTCTATTTGTTGTCATAGTGAAAAAAATACCATCATTAAATTATTTAAAAATTTAATAAATTAATAAAAATACTATTAATATATCAGATACGAAACCGTACACGATCATGTATTAATTAAATTCTTATCTACTCTATAATTTTTAAACTCTAACAAAATATGCAATAACAAATGTTTTCCCCTTTTTCTTCATCTATATATTTTCAGACATTCTGTGTGGTTTCAAAACGTTTTCGCAAAAATTACATACATCGATTTACCGGCACCAAAAGTTTATTTCTCTTCCATCCATGGAGTGCGGCGAGACGAATATGCGTCTATATAGCAACAAATCAGTTCTTCGATTATTGTGTCATGGCCACAATATTGTTTAATTGCATTTTTTTAGCCATGACAGAGACAGTCGAAGAAGCTGAGTAAGTGTCCCGCCAATCAATCTATATATGTCCATACATCAACCAACCCATTCATGCAATCACTCAATCAATGTCATTATCGCACAACGCAGCAGCATCCAATACAAAATTTTCTGATTTTCCATTTCATTTTCTTTCGCCCCTTCTTTTTCTTCATTATTTGCATTTGTTGTTGTTGTTATCGTTTCTTTTTAGATTTGTCTTCCTAGCGATTTACACCATTGAAATGGTAATCAAAATCATTGCCAAAGGCTTCCTGCTCAACAAGTACACATATTTACGAAATCCATGGAATTGGCTGGATTTTGTGGTCATAGCAAGCGGTTATGCAACGATCGGTATGGATGTGGGCAATTTGGCCGGTTTGCGTACATTTCGTGTGCTGAGAGCCTTAAAGACTGTTTCCATAATGCCAGGTTTAAAGACTATTATCAATGCACTATTGCACTCGTTTCGTCAATTGGCCGAGGTCATGACGTTGACCATATTTTGTTTAATGGTCTTTGCACTGTTCGCACTGCAGGTAAGTGGATGTGGATTTAATGTTTTGTGTATTTATAATTATAATAGTGTTTATATTTCCATGCCATTGTTTTTAATTTATCATTGCGATAAGGCATTAATCTAATAATAGTGAGCCCATCATTTCAAAGTTAATCTAAACGGTTACGGGAAAATCCACTCGATTTTAATTTTCAATTCCATATCGCCAATGTCCAATTCCATAAATCGTAGTCATAAATTTAATGGAGGGTGTCTTAGGGCATATTTTAGGTTTTCCTAATCCAGTCGATATATTAGGAACAATTTAAACACTCTTTAAATAATTGTCCGAAGCATCCCGTATTTTTATACCCTTCACCACACTGTGGTACAGGGTATTATGTCTTTGTGCATATGTTTGTAACAGGCAAAAATAATTGAGATAGACCCATGGTTCCTTTTGAGAATATGCATAGAATCACTTTCTAAGTCGATTTATGCATGTCCGTCCGTCCGTCCGTCCGTCTGCCTGTCTGTCCATGTTAAATTGTAAACAAAGTACAGGTCGCATTTATGATCCGAATTGGATGAAATTTGGCATAGGTCACTTATTCGGCCCAAGGACGAACCCTATTGAAATTGGGAAAAATCGGTTCAGATTTAGATATAGCTCCCATATATATATTTAACCGATTTAATGTAAACGGTCCCTATATATCTTTCGATTTGCACGAAATTTGGTACAGGCTAATCATTTAGGCCTATAATGATGTCTGCCAATTTTCGTGAAAATCGGTCCAGATTTAGATATAGCTCCCATATATAGTTTCGTCCGATTTCATGTAAATGGTGCCCCTAAGTCCCTATATATCTTTTGATTTGTACGAAATTTGGCATAACGTACTGAATTAAGCCTAGAGTGATGTCTGCCAAGTTTCGTGAAAGTCGGTCCAGATTTAGATATAGCTCCCATATATAGTTTCGTCCGATTTCATACAAATGGTGCCCCAAAGTCCCTATATATCTTTTGATTTGCACGAAATTTGGCATAACGTACTGAATTAAGCCTAGAGTGATGTCTGGCAATTTTCGTGAAAATCGGTCCAGATTAAGATATAGCTCCCATATATAGTTTCGTCCGATTTCATGTAAATGGTGCCCTAATGTTCTTATATATCTTTCGATTTGCACGAAATTTGGTATAACGTACAGAATTGAGCCAAGAATGATGTCTGCCAAGTTTCGAGAAAATCGGTCCAGATTTAGATATAGCTCCCATATATAGCTTCGTCCGATTACATGTAAATGGTGCACCAAAGCCCCTATATATCCTTCGATTTGCACGAAATTTGGCATAACGTACTTAATTGAGCCCAGAATGATGTCTGCCAAGTTTCGAGAAAATCGGTCCAGATTTAGATATAGCTCCCATATATAGTTTCGTCTGATTTCATGTAAATGGTGCCCTAATGTTCTTACATATCTTTCGATTTCCACGAAATTTGGTATAACGTACTGAATTGAGCCTAGAATGATGTCTGCCAAGTTTCGAGAAAATCGGTCCAGATTTAGATATAGCTCCCATATATAGCTTCGTCCGATTACATGTAAATGGTGCACCAAAGTCCATATATATCCTTCGATTTGCACGAAATTTGGCATAACGTACTTAATTGAGCCCAGAATGATGTCTGCCAAGTTTCGAGAAAATCGGTCCAGATTTAGATATAGCTCCCATATATAGTTTCGTCCGATTACATGTAAATGGTGCACCAAAGTCCCTATATATCCTTCGAGGTGCACGAAATGTGGCATAACGTACTTAATTGAGCCCAGAATGATGTCTGCCAAGTTTCATGAAAATCGGTCCTGATTTAGATATATCTTCCATATATAGTTTCGTCCGATTTCATGTAAATGGTGCCCCAAAGTCCCTATATATCTTTTGATTTGCACGAAATTTGGTACAGCCTAATCATTTAGGCCTAGAATGATGTCTGCCAAGTTTCGTGAAAATAGGTCAAGATTTACATATAGCTCCCATATATAGTTTCGTCCGATTTCATGTAAATGGTGCACCAAAGTCCATATATATCCTTCGATTTGCACGAAATTTGGCATAACGTACTGAATTGAGTCTAGAATGATGTCTGCCAAGTTTCGTGAAAATCGGTCCAGATTTCTATATAGCTCCCACATATAGTTTCGTCCGATTTCATGTATATCTTTCGTTTTGCACAAAATTTGGCATAACGTACTGAATTGAGCCTAGAGTGATGTCTGCGTTGTTTCGTGAAAATCGGTCCAGATTTAGATATAGCTCCTTTTTATTATAGATTGATTTTAAGTAATTGACGCACCAAGAACCAATAGGAACAAAACGTTCTGAAATTAGTATAACCTATCCTGTCACAAGTTTGTTTGAAATCGCTTAATATTTGGATAGACCTTCCATATATATTTTCGCCCGATTTCAAGTAAATTGGGCATCAAACTCCTCATGTTAGTCAGTTTGACATCAAATTTTGCACAACGTACAAAATTGAGCATAGAATTATGTAGTTGCGTTTTCTAGAAGTACAGACATAGCCCAACGGATGACCCATTTATATTTGTTTGAAGTCGATTTACATACTTTATGGATAGATCTACGTAGATTAACATTTAGATAAATATCACATATTTTATTTCATCCAATTTCATGCTAATAGTCCAGTTTAATATACCCATAGTGGTGAAGGGTATCATATAGTCGGCCCCGTCCGACTTTACTACTTTCCTTACTGGTTTAGCTATAAAATAGCGATGGTCGTGTACATTCTGTGAATATATTATTATAGAATTATATGGAGGATATATTAGTTTTGTTTTTCCGTTTGTAACTCATCGAAATAATCATTTCCGACCCTATAAAGTATATATATATATATTCTTGATCAGCGTAAAATTCTATGACGATTTAGCCATGTCCGTCTGTTGTAAACACTCTAGCGTCTAAACGAATTGAGATAGAGCCTCAAAATTTTGCATATAGTCGTCTTTTGTCTGCAGGCAAGTTCGAAGATGAGCTATTTCGGTCAACGTTTAGGCATAGCTCCCATATAAGGGTACCCCCCCAAATTTCGGTATTTTGGGGTTCTTGAGCGTGTTTTTCAGCCGAATTCGCTGAAATTTGGTACTTTGAGTTCTTATTGGGTAGCAAATCTCCCCACAGAAAATTATAAATATTGGTCCACTTTTTCTGGTAGACCCCATATAACGGTACCCCCAATTTTCGGTATTTTGGGGTTCTTGAGCGCGTTTTTCAACCGAATTAGCTGCAAATTGGTATTTTGTAGTCGTATATGGTACCAAATCTCCCTACTAAAAATTATTAATATTCGCCCCCATTTTAGGGTAGTCCTCATATAACCCCCCTTTTTTATATTAAAATGGTTATCTGATTTGTTCCGCGGTTTAAGTCTCTGATGTAATCATAAACAAGTAGAACGTAAGGTTCGATAATGAACTAAAAGCCGCATTTAGACCTAGCCCCTGTGTGGAGGTTCCAGAAGAAGTGGAAGTGAGGGTATAATTATCCATTAAAAATTTCTGAATTTTTTATTTTTGTTTATATAATCCCTTTTTAGAAATGTCGGTATAGGTCCACCTTTTGGTATTTTCATTTCTAGTACCTGTCAGTATGTCTATGGTGGAGGGTATTCAAAGTTCGGCCCGGCCGAACTTAACGCCTTTTCACTTGTTTTATGATCGAAAATAACACTGACGACAATGAGCGTTTTAATAATTGCCGCCTAGAAGTATGCTGTATTTTTTGTGCCACACAGTTTTAGCAACACATATAAAGAGAGGTATACACTATCTGACAGTTCAAAACCATGACAAATTGCGTGCATGACAAATGAAATGGATAACGTAACGGAAAAGCGGTGTACATTAGGGTTTTATTTATTTTTGTTCTCAAAAATGATTTCCAGCATCAGGAATGAAAGATTATTTAAAAAGTTAGAAATTACATGGTTATCCATTTCGAAGTTTCAATAGTAAACGAATCAAGAACACAAGAATGTTGTAAGCGTATTATAGCTTTGTGTAGCCTCTAGATCCACCTTTAATATAACAACATATTTACTGCTGAAGGTCATAGACGGGGAAGGTGAATTTGAGGTATTTTCGATCACTTTTTGAAATATATTGGACGGTATCTCAGCCCTAACTCGACGAATGTTAGTTTTTAAGTGCTCATGTGTTGAAGGTTTATCACCAAAAACAAGATCTTTCGCATAGCCAATAAAATGATCTTGGTGGCCAGTTGGTATCGCCACAACGAGAAATTACGCCGCTACATTTGACACCGTCTTTTTGATACCCCATATTCACCAAGTCGTATTCTTTAATAGCAGACAACCAGACTGTGATCTTTTCCGGATGTAATGGCCTTTCCTTAATTACTTGAGGATTCTCAAAAACCCAACTATGACAATTTTGTTTATGAAAATTTCGAAAATTTCAGCGGTACTAGCGAAACTATAGTGCTCCGGCCTTAAAATATTTATAACCGTTCCAGTCTCTTCAATTTTTTTTTCAGAATTCTTCCAAATGCTTGCGTATTTGGACGATTTTGTAAATCATAATCTCCTCTTAAACACATATAAAAATGTGCATCATCGAAAATGACTGTCTGTCTGTCCGAACGGTGGTAACCGATCTTCGTGATCATCATGCTCTTCGTAGTCTCCTGCACTGGCTTTGTTTCTGCGGGTTCTGAAATATTTATATTAGGTTGTCCCATAAGTTTCTTCCGCGCCACGCTATGAATTAGTCTGACTGGCTATGCTCATATAAACACGCAGGCTTATTTCCTAGCCGTTTATGGTATCGGTTGTAGTCGTCTCAGAGCTCTTTCAAAGTTCGTTTCGTTGGTGACAAAGCGCCTTCTAAAATTTGTTTCTACCCCGTTCAATATGGAGAACCAAAAGAAGCATTTACGGTATGTTATGCTTCATTGCTTTAAAAAAGGCAATAGTGCAAAGAACACTGCACATGAAATTTGCACCATTTACGGGAGTGGTACTCGACCATTAGGACCGTTCGCAATTGGTGTAAGAAATTTAGAGCCGGCAATTTTGATTTGGAAGATGAAGACCGCAGCAGACGCCCACTAACGACGGATACGGTGTAGCGTGCGCGAGATAGTGGATGACAGTAACATTCACAAGACAACGGTACATAGGCGTTGTATCAAGATGGGATATGCAAATCGGTATGTTATGGTAAATTTTGTAGCTGTTCTTGAGGTCTAAAATATCAACAGCATAAATATCTGACTGTTGGTAAATTTTGTAGCTGTTCTGGTCGTATTCGCCAGTAGTATTTATGTAAACCTCGGCGTTACTACTTTCTGAAAGCCGCATCCCAAAACAGCAATATGTTGACTCTTGTGCTGATATTTCAGTACCAGAGATAGACTTTTGAGCTATACGCTGTAGCTTTTGCTTTATAGAATGGTTGCCAGCCCTAATTTCTTCAACAGCATCTCGAAGGTCCACGATTTGACTTATTAATATAGTTAATGAGTTATATCCGTATAATTGCTGTGTGCAGTGACAATATTGTGGGGTTTTGTTGAATATTTTGTTTTCAAATCTTCATTTTAAGAAATTTTGAGGTTTTTTACGACGATCTAAGAGCCAATAAATAATTCTCATATGTTAGATTTATATTTTTCTCGGACAGGAAATGGTCAAAATTGTTTAATTGAGAGGCTTGTTTCTATCATAGATATATTTTAATTCCTAGATATTTTCAGAGTTTTCATGAATTTCTGCTGCAGGCGAATATGACATACCTCTAGTACAAGAACGATTTTGGTTGTGACGCTGATAAACAATATATTCTTATAAATTTTCATTAGAACGATTAGTAGAAATATATTTATCTATGAAACTAATGCCAGAAGCAAAAGAAGATGAATTAGTAAGGTCTATGCATGCGGATATGGCATACCTCTAGTACAAGAACGATTGTGGTTGTGACGCTGATAAGCAATATATTCTTATAAATGTTCATCAGATCAATTAGTAGAAACTTATTTATCTACGAAACTATGACAGAAGCAAAAGAAGATGAATTGTTAGGGTTTATTATAGAAGCATCCTTAAGCAAGTACATGCAGTGTATGTGAGGAGATCCACTCCACTCGCCAATAGTATTTCACCGCATAGTGTTTATCGAAAATGCCGTAATTCATTACAAATATGCCTAGGATCATTATTCGACCTTCTATATTTGAAAGTGTTTAATAATTATCCAAGTGAGAACTTTTTCTTGACATACTGTATATTGTTTATTACATCTTCATGTATTTTTCATAACATTTTACTTAAATGTAATAAACAATACTGTATATTTTTAATTGCATTTTACTTTAATATAATTCAATTCAATAACATTTTTAACCCATTATCCCTACATATCAAATAACATCTGAACATTTCCATATTTCCTCCCTCATTCAGGTTTACATGGGTGAACTGAGAAATAAGTGTGTTAAAAATGTACCAGAAGATTGGGTCAATACCACCGATCTTGAATGGAAATTGTAAGTAGTAGCCCTAAACTATAAGGATAACTTTATTTTAAATATATTAATATATCCTTTCTCTTCACAGATGGATAAACGACACAGACAATTGGTTGTACGATGACGAGGAGCTGCCTCTGTTATGTGGTAACTTAACGGGGGCACGTCACTGCCCCGAAGGCTATACGTGCCTGTGTGTGGGCGAAAATCCCAATCATGGTTATACGAATTTCGATAACTTTATGTGGTCGATGTTGACAACATTTCAGTTAATCACCCTGGACTATTGGGAGAATGTGTATAATATGGTGTTGGCCACTTCGGGACCGATGAGTGTATCATTTTTTACAGTGGTTGTGTTTTTTGGTTCATTTTATTTAATAAATCTAATGTTAGCCGTAGTTGCTCTAAGTTACGAGGAAGAAGCCGAAATAACGAATGAAGTAAGTCGGTTAAAAATTTGGAACTCTTGGTGTAAGGGAATCTCAATAATGTTGTTCTGATTTTCCAGGAACGTAAAAAAGACTTAATGGATCATCGTGATGATTCAACATTTAGCTTCGACCCGTCCGTTCTGAATGTGAAAAAATTAAATAAAAACAATAAAAATAAAATTGACTCCCGTAAGGGTGTATTGGCCTCCTACAATAAGAAGAAGGTGAGACGGAAAAAAGTCAAGGGCACCGGCAAGGGTGAAACAAGTGGTAACAATACCGATAGCAATGGCAATGGAACAGTAAGTACCTTGACTTAAACATTTTCAATGGATATGATTTTTATCTAATATCTTCTGTTACAGCACACTGGTAAAGGTGATTCACTCACACCCACACCTAGTCCCAGTCCCCGCCACAGTGGTTGTGAACGACCTACCGATCTGGATCTGAAAGGAGGTCAACACCAAAAAATCGGCTCGGCCAAAGACAAACAACGCCAGACACGCATTTGTTTTCAGGAGCAGGATACCGAACTCAATCCAAATATGTTGTATCCCTCCGGCCAGCTGGTGCATGCCGGCCGCCAAGGTAGCTCAAATTCAGCCGGCGGTGGTGTGAATCGTGAATCATCTCAGGATGATTCAGGTGTGGTGGACGATCATGAAGAACAAGATATAACAGCTTCCGAAGTGGTCAATGTAACTGCCACCAATAATAATAACAATAGTAATAATAACAATAATAATAATGCCGCAGCAGCGACTACTGCTATCGCCACCACCACGACAACGATGGTGGACGAATGTGGCAGCACCAATGAACATACAGCGGTCACATTAGCCCTGTCACCGCGTGAAGTTCGACTGATAAAGTGCAATGGAAATATAGCACGCATTAAAAAGCATAATATTTATGCTTTACATCCGGAAGATTCTTCCGAAATTGTTGTAATCGGTAAGTGTAAGAAAACTTTAAGGGTTATAATTTTTTTAGTTTAGGAAAAAATCAGTCTTAAAATATTAGTATGTAATATTTTCATTGAAGTACGCCATTGAGGTACGCCTTATGTTGTGAATTCCTCCTTAAACTCTCAACTTCGCAGAAGGTGGTCGAAGAATTCCTTGCTCAGTTGACCGGACGCACTATTTTCGTTGATCTCTGCAGAGCTTGACTCTATAATGATTTCTTCTAAAATCGCATAAGATGACAGCCCCTTACCAGTGTTTGCTGTCATCTTCCGATTCCTTTTGGAATTTACAAACTGCTTGAGCTTGATCGCCCATTAGTATATGGATTATTGTGGCTGACTAAGCTTTCTCTTTTCCCTTCGCCTCTTCTGAGGGAGTTGTAAGAAGATCAGGGTTTTCCAGATTTCGTTTTTACGCACCAGATAATTGATTATACTGAGTTGAAAGGTTTCTAATATACTCATTTCTTCTACTATCTGTCTCTTCACTCCTCCGGCATTTTAAGAATGTTATGTCTTAAGTTGGGCCTTTCCAGGATGAACAAATTCAAAGGGGGTATTCCCCAAAAGGAACAATTATTATAGTACGTTTACATTTAACCGGATTTCGTTAACCCAGTGGGTTTCAATTGTCAATTCCTTTGCATATATGTCAAATAAATCCTCATAAAGTAGATTAACCCGGTAAAAAGTTCTAATGTATATGCCGTTTTAGTTCCGATTCTTTCGTTCATATAGTTCACTTTGCTCCAGTCGTTCATTTTTGCTTTTGTTCAACAAGTTCCTCTTGAAGAAATCGAATTACTTTTATCTTATTAACTAATCATGGGTCTATGGCTATGACATTGGAACCAAAGCCCAATGATCCCAATGGAAAAATCCGAAGCGAAAGTCCAAAATCGAAAAACACACGTCAAGTTTGGTAAATTTTTTAAAATTAATTTAATATGAACCTATAGCATCGCAGGAATGTCCCTTTAAAATTTCAATAACTCTTGAAGATATAATCGATTTATTGTGTCAGCATCAAGCGATTGCAAGCGTGCTTATCAAACTTTAAACATCTTTTTTTTCGACACCGCGTTTTTAGGATTGTCGGGCACGATTACTTAAAAACTATTAATCAGATCGGTTCCAAATATTAACACGTTATTCTGGACCTACATAGCTATTGTATGAACTAGGATAAATCCAATTGGTCAAGATCTTTTCTATTTTCGAGATTGGTTTTTGACTGAAAACGTGCGATTTTCCCAATAGTGAGGATTTTGGTTAATGTAAAATCTGTTCAATCTTACTTAAAATTAAACCATTTACAATTCTTATTTTATTGAACTGTATTATATACAGGCTTAATATCTGTGTCGCCAAATCTGTGGTACCTCTGAAGGTCGTAAATCAGCCGGTCATATTCATCATATAGAATTCCTCCGTTAGCAGGAATCTCTCCCACATTCTAATCCTTTCCATTTGAGGTGACGATATGTCTTACCATGCAGGAAAGGAGTAAGAGTATATTAGAAACTTTACCTCTGAAGAAAGTCCCCCTCGCATTTGAAAGAATCTTTGATAGGCAAAGTTATTCTTTTTTGTCTCTGATAAGTTGAATATTTCATGCAGGATCATCCTGTCTGCCATATCTATGAATTAATTTCCAACTTTTATAGTTGGAATGTATTTTTGGAAGCTCTTCGCAGTGGACTTGGTTTTGCTCTTCAAAACCACCCTTTCCAACATTGAATCGCCATTGCTGAAGTATTTGTGAAGTATTTCCATGTACACATTAAATTTTCTTTCCACAGTGCTTCCAAAGCAGCCTCGCAGCGCAAGTATGTTAACAGCAGTCGTCTTTCAGTTGGCCCTGGTATGCCACAAACTAACATGTTGTATAGAACCGATCCTAGTTGTGATCCCTGAGGCACCCTTGCTTTGACCGATCAACATCTTATCACACGAAATAATCGATCCTTAAGAAAACTTGCTACCATGCGACTGGTTTGTTGATCGAATACGAGCGATTGCTCGAAATCCAAACTGGCAATCCCTACGGATTTTCTTTTCTTCAATCAACCGGTTGATAAAGTGCTCCAGTAATTTCCCAAAGAGCGATAATAGGGAAATTGGTATGTAGTGGTACAACTAGTGGCTCCTTCGATGCTATTGGGAAATAGCCAATGTTGAGGCAGTGATTAAAAAGTATTGTCAGGAGAATTATTATGGTTTCTCCTGCTTTCTTCATGGCAATGTCGATAGCAGACCCGGCCATGTCTGAGTCTATAAGTCCTTTGTGTTCTCATCTACATCCATCGTTGATTGCAATTCCATCCGCCTTCAAATCACTGCATAAATTAACCAGTGGTGCATCGTGGTTAAAATCTTCCACTGCAGTGCTGACAAGACTGCGAAAAGAATTATCCACTGCAACATCGGATTAGTGGATACCATCCATATGATCGGCTAAAATCTTGGCCTTTAAGGAGTTGTCTGCGACGATTACTCCCTTGTGATCCTGAATTCCTTGCAATTTCTTCACTCTTTTATACCATTTTCTCGATTACAAAATGTGTGTATCGTAATCGATAGTGCTGCTAAAATATCGATAATATTCTTAGAATATTTACAGGGTTGTTGTTACATAAACTAGGGTTGCATTAAATCTAATTGGAAAATTTTAATAAATAAGGTTTAAAGTACGTTTACATTTAACCGGATTTCGTTAAGCCAGTGGGTTTCAATTGTCAAATCTATTGTATATATGTCAAATAAATCCTCATAAAGTTTTACATCAATTCAGTATTAGAAGTAATGGGAAATTAAAACATTTCAAAAATAGTGAATAGCTGGAATATTTTTTTTAGAAAAAAATTCTTAGCTACTGGTGACTGATATTTTCTTCTAAAAAATTTTTTTAATAATCGTATATTTATTTTTTTGGTTTATTTTCAGATGATCTTCCCGATCGAAATTGTGATAGATGTGTTCAATGTTGCATCGACTATGAAGGATGGTTGCAATTTCAAAATTGCCTCTATAAAGTGGTACGTGATCCGCTATTCGAATTGGCCATCACGCTATGTATTGTTTTGAATACGGCATTTTTGGCCATGGAACATCATGGTATGAGTGAAAGTTTTCGCAATGCTCTGGATGTAGGAAATAAGGTAGGAATATATAACCATGAAAGGAAAAACCAAAAACCAACTCCTGGCACTCAAGAAAAAAAAATGAAACGCAAAAGCAGCATGCATGAGCCCTCGTTGCACTGAAAAAAATTGGAGGGTGGCTTTCAATGTGTAAAATAAAGGGAAATATTTTCAATACTACATTTTTTCTTGTTGTTCTTCTTCTTGTTTTTCCGCAGGTTTTCACTTCAATATTTACATTTGAATGTATTATAAAATTAATGGCATTATCCAAAGAGTTTTTTCTATGTGGTTGGAATATATTTGATTTGATCATAGTAACGGCCTCATTGTTGGACATAATATTTGAATTAGTTGATGGTCTCAGTGTATTGAGAGGTCTCAGATTGGTAAGACAACAAAAAAAATCTATTAAGAAAAGAAAATTGGCCTTGCTTGGAAATGGAAAATTGTATTTATTATGTTTCTTTTGTATTTATTTTTTCTTTTTGAACCAAAACAAAAAAAAAATCTACAACAAACAAACAACCAAATCAACCTATTCTAGTTGCGTGTTTTAAAATTGGCTCAATCTTGGACTACAATGAAAGTGTTATTAAGTATTATTATTTCAACCATAGGAGCTTTGGGTAATCTTACCTTAATATTGGTTATAGTCATTTACATATTTGCCGTCATTGGCATGCAATTGTTTTCTAAAGATTATACACCAGAAAAATTTGAACCCGATCCGGTGCCAAGGTAAAATATTTTTTGGAATATTATTATTTTTAGAAAACAAGAATTAAAAGAATTTATTAATGCGTTTCTATTTGTTTTATCGACCACAGATGGAATTTCAATGATTTTTTCCATTCGTTTATGATGATTTTTCGTATCCTGTGCGGTGAATGGATTGAACCTTTGTGGGATTGTATGAGAGCCGAAGAAGAGGTGGGTATTTTCACAATCTAAAATCTGTTCTTCTTAAATTCAAAATGTATTTATTTTATTTTTTAAACTTACAGCAAGGTGCTTCCACATGCTTTGCCATCTTCCTACCCACTCTGGTAATGGGCAATTTCATGGTGCTAAACTTGTTCTTGGCCTTGTTGCTCAACAGCTTTAATTCGGAGGAGCTAAAATCCAAGAAAGAGGTAAAATGCATGTTCGACTTTCCAGATTTTTTTTGTTGTCTATTTACTATTTTATTTACCCGGCTTTATTATGATGTTCTTGTCGTATTTGTCACATAAAATGTCATTGATGTTTAAAACTTTTTTGAGAAAAAAAAACAAAATATGAAAAAATGGTTTGGAAATGGATAAAAACTGCCCAAAAAACAAGCATTGATGTGTGCAAACTTTTTTATGTGTGTGGTTTCTATTTTATGACTTAAAAAAAGAGAAAAAATAATTTGTTAAAAAAATTAATGATTTTATAATTTAAAAAAAAGAAATTCGCAAAATATTATTTACTTTGAATTAAAAAGATTTTTAATTGTGTTTTAAAAGAGAATTGAGTTAATATTTAAATGTGGTGTTTTTTTGATGTTTAGTCATTAGTATGTTATTCTATTTCAATATTGAGTTTCAAACTATTGTTATTGTGGTGTATTAGAGTTAAAAATGCTTTGTTCATTATTTTTTTATACATAAATTTTTCAAAACTTTTGACGCTTGGTAATTATATTTTGACTTTAATTCTTTGATTTCCAACATTCCATTAAATTAATGTCAAAATGATTTCAGAAGGATATATAAGGACTTGGGAACACCATTTACATAAAATCTGACGAAAATATATGTATATGGGAGCTATATCTAAATCTGAACCGATTTTCACCAATTTCAATATGGTTCTTCGTTGGGCCAAAAAAATGAGCTGTAATCAAAAATCCCAAAAAAAAATATTTTTTTCGGTAGTTAAATTTAGCACACAGACAGAGAGAAACCAAGATATCAATGGGGTTTAAAATGTACCCAAAGGCCGAAAATTGTGTGTACCGTATGTATTGGGTCTACCCCAAAACATACTTACTTAGCTGGCTTGTTACAGAACGGTTGTTCCATAAGCCGAGCTTAAAAAAGATTTCCAAGCGCGTCGGTCTTGTGCGCAAGTCCACCAATTTGGAAGACCACGTTCCAAGGTGTTGTTTTCTACTTTGTCTTTCCATCTAATTCGTGGCCTTCCCCTTCTACGGGAACCATCAGTAGGCTCGTTTTTATATGCCTTTTGAGTTGGGGCATTCTCATTCATCCGCACAACATGGCCTAGCCACCGTAGTCACTGCAGCTCAATACGACTGACTATGTCGATGTCCGCATATAAATGGTAAAGCTCGTGATTCATTCGACACCGATATTCACCGTCGACGCAGATCGGCCCGTAGATCTTTCGGAGAATTATTCTCTCAAACACCCCAAAAGCTGCCTCATCTGCTTGCGCAAGTACCCATGCTTCTGGTCCATATAATAGCACGGGTAGTATCAGCGTCTTGTAAAGTGTGAGTTTGGTCTGGCGGGAGGTGGCCTTGTTTCTAAATAGCTTACTTAGATTACTTACAGATGTAGCATATGTTGGGCATCACAATCCTTCTTCGAATTTCAAAGCTGATGTCATTCGTTTTATTTATGGCGGTACCAGGGTATATAAAGTCTTTAACTATCTCGAAGCTGTAGTTCTCAAGTTCCACAGTTGGTCCGAGTCTATTGGACGTCTTGCGCGTTGATACCATCAGCTTGGTCTTCTCGCCGTTTACTGCCAGACCCACTTTGGAAGACTCCTTTTCAAATTGTCATCGGCGTAGGCGAGTAACATGTGTTGTTTGGTGTACAGAGTACCATTTCTGTTCACCTTTGCGTCTCGTATGACCTTTTCCAGCAGGATGTTAAAAAGATCACACGACAAACTGTCACTTTGTCTGAATCCTCGTTCGGTATTGAAGGGCTTCGATAGGTCCTTTCCTACTTTAACTGCTGACCTTGTGCCACATAAAGTTATCCTGCATAGCCGTATTAATTTTGCAGGAATACCGAACGCAGATATGGCTTTAAACGCCTCTGAACGGATAGGGCTGTCGAATGCGGCTTTATAGTCAACAAATAGGTGGTATGTGTCAATGTGTTTTTCGTGGGTCTTTTCCAGGATTTGGCGCAGAGGGAAAATCTGGTTAATGGTGGGAATGCGATGGGAAGGAGTCTCCTTTTTCATTGGGCATGCATTTATCTAGCCATGCATGCATTTATCTATGCTGTTTCTAGGCGCTCGTAAAATATGTCTTTGGTCTGTTCATCTTTATCTTCGGTCGGAGCATGGGCGCAAATGAGACTGATGTAAAAGAACTTCACTTTTATACGGATTATAGCAATTCGCTCATCTACCTGAGGGAATCTGGAGACATGGTCTTTTATTCTCCTGTTAACCATAAATCCGCAGCCAAATTCATGTCTCGTTTCATGGCAGCTATAATACAGGGCGTAATCGTCTGATTTACTTACGCATGTCCATTTCCATCGCATTTCATGTAAGGCAATAATATCGGCTTTGTACTTCTTGAGTATATCCGCCAAAGTGAACACTGCGCCTGTTCTATACAACGTGCGCACATTCCAAATGCAGATTCGTAGATCGTGGCCCTTTATACGTTTGCGGGGGTCGTCAACATTAGGGGGGTTTGGTTTTCTTTTTCTTTGCTTTTTCATAGTAGGTTGGGTTTTCCGAGAGTGGGCAACTAACCCGACGCCTCAACCCATTTTTTATAGTTCTTATGGGTGAACTCGCGACACATATTAGCTCACTATTTCATCGTGGGTGATGAGAATAGCTCCCCAGGTGGCACCGCGGGGAGGCCAGTGTCCACAATTGAGATGAAAGAGGGACCAAGATAAGCCTGGACTTCGCCATGTTAAATCCAATCAGAGCCGTTGCTTGGTATCTATCATCCTCTACGCCACCCATGAGCAAGAGCCAATATTTATAATTTTCATTAGGGTAAATTTCCAGAGTACCCAAAATATAGAATTGATCCATAAAATGCGAATAGGTATGTGGACTACCCGGAAAAATGAACCAATACTGGTCATTTTTAATAGAACGGTTTGTTACATCATGGGATCTCTAGATACCAATTCGATTTAAAAAATCTGATAAAAAGTGCAAAAATACCGAATTTTGGGGACTACCGTTATAAGGGAGCTATATCAAAACATTGATTCAGTCCAAAACAATTGAAAAAAGTGAATTATAGGCTTTCAAAATAGGTTTAGAAATAGGGACAAGCCGCTGTCTTACAGCACTTGGAGGTTAAGAAAGAAGAGTAGATGTCTTTAACTTCGTTGTGAGCTATACGGCACTTGAGTGTTTTTTAATACCTTTCGTCTTGGAACAGCATGTTTTCAGTGGACCACTTACACAACGAAGCCTATTTAATCAACACCGTGTAGCTTTACTGTTTTTTATAACAAAAGCCTTAGATGTATGAGGACTTTCTATGTAAACTTCGCTCAGGTCCCAGGTTATTACATTTTTTTTGGTCTTTGACCACTACTTTTTTATATAAAAATTTTCCTCAGTTCGCTTTTTGTTTTTATTGTGGGCAAATATCTCAGGTCCCTGGGGACTGCTTGTTTTATTAGAACAAACCCTGTCACTGATGATTAATTGTGTCTAAAAGTCCCTAAGGTTTCTTTTTTATAGAAATAATTCCTCAAATCCCAGAAGATCGCTTTTTTATTGAAAAAAAAAACTTAGATCACTGAAAACTATTTAGTTTTTGATAAAGAACGAAATTTTCAAGGTCCGTGTGGACTACATGTTTTAAAGACAAAATCTGCAGGTCTGTGGTGAGTTATTGGTATAAAAAAATTCACACAGGTCATTAACGTCTATTATTTTCCACGAAAACCCGAAATTGTTTAAGGACTACTATTATTTATAAAATAAACAAACAACTATTTATTATTGGGGAATGTATGGCATTGTCCGCCGAGGGATAAGGCAGGGAAGACTGTAGTCTGGCACCAACGAACTTCTCATTGAGGTCGTATCGCTGGTAACGTAAGAACTTCGCTTTGTCACATGAGACATTTGGGTATAAAAGGGTTTTTTTTGTAAAGAAGCAATAAATAGCTTCTAAGGGAACTGATGAGTATCAGTGACGTGATCCGAAATTATAGTCTTGCCTGCCTTATCCCTTGGGGACAATGCCATACATTCCCCATTAATAAATAGTTGTTGTTTTTTTATAAAAACAACAAACTGGGATTCAGCCTGACTTTTTTGCAAAAACAAAATACAAATGGTATCCCAAATAACCCGCCAGCACTACTGAAAATAAACAAATATATATTTTTTTTTAATTTTATAAAAAATATAACAATAATTATTATAATTATATAATTTTTAAACTATTCAAATATATAATAGTTCAATATTAGTGGTTTGCCAAGTTACATTTTGTAATAATTTTTATATTAATTTATTAAAAAAATATATATTTAAAAAATCTTTAGTTTTTCATTTGAGCCTTATCTATAAAAAGAGGAATTATTGAAAAGTTGAAAACTCATTTGGAACATGACAACGACTTTTCATAGATTCACCTTAAGGCCCTCTATATCTATCATCTAACTATATAACACAAATAATATTTTCTAATATTTAATAAAAATATTTTACTATCTTCCTCCTTCTTTGTTGTTATTGTTACATATATATGTGCGTGTGTGTGACTGCGTTATTTTACATGTGCTTAATTTATAAAAAAAACGAACTATTAAACTTAAATAAAAAAACTAATAATTATAAAATTTAATTGAAATGAAAATAACAAAAACAACAACAACATATACAACAATACAAATATCTCAATTATATATACATATCTCTCGCACTAATCTATAACTAATTGACCAACTATCCTACAAATGACCAAAAAACAAATATTTTCTAAAATACTCCGTGCACCGTGTCTACACACTAAAAAAAAAACAACACTTTCTATCAAAACCCCAACGCCAAATACAACGTTTATAAAACAAAAAAACTGTAAACCTTAAACTAAAAACAGATATTCAAGAAAAAGGTAATTGTAGCTTGTAATAATACTTCCACTGAAACTTGAAACCCATTTTTAATTTGATTTGAATCGAAAAAAATAAAACTAAACAACAACCAGTAAACTAGTATTTGGCTCCAAATCCTTTACAAATTAACTTCAAAATTCGGAAAAAATTAACGCATGCAACCTGTAGTTTTATAATTTAATTCCCCCATCCCCGTAACCCATTGAAATTTTAATTAATAAAAATTCTATTGTAGCTGTAGTAGTACTCTCCCCCAATAACCCTCCCCCCCTAAACTTTTGGACTTGAAATCGGTGTTTTGAGCTTAGGCTTAAGCATATTGGTATCTGCATCAGAACAATCCAAAATTAGTGTTTTGCTGCAACTGTATTTGTGTATTGGCATAATTAAAGAAAAAAATACAATATTTAATTGTTAATAATTTGTGATTATTTTATTTTAATTTTGTAATATAATTGCGTAAAATATAATTTTTCCGAATTGTCTACTGCAATTGCAATAATTTGAATACTTCCCCATTTCTCTTGCTGCGTTTCGATATATCTTTTGGTCATTGCCATATCTAGGAAGTTGGTGAGGAATCGAAATTGGCGCGCAGCATTGAACGCGTGCGCGATTTAATACGAAAAAAGCGCCAAGAACGTAAAGAGCGCAAGGAGCGTAAATATGCTTCGAAATTTCAACAAATTGTTATTGAAGCTCAAAATGCTGCCGCCTCATCCATGCTTGATAAGTCAGGTCTGATGTCGGAAACTAAGTTTCACCGGCTTAGTTATCAGGTAAGGAAAATGAATTAAATATTTCAGAGGCCTGATTTTTTCTATTGAAAAATTGCCCCTCTTACTGAGGCGAGATTTTTTTCTATGGGAAAATTGCCCCTCTAAGTGAGGCCTAATTTTTCTATAGAAAAAATACCTCATTAACTGAGGCCTATTTTTTTTTCTTTAGAAACAAATGTCTCTTTAACTTATGCCTGATTTCTTTTCAATAGAAAAAATACCTCACTACTGAGGCCTAATTTTTTATATTAAAACCAGTAAGGAAAGTAGTAAAGTCGGACGGGCCCGACTATATGATACCCTTCACCACTTTGGGTATATTCAACAGATGAATCCTAACAGACGTCGAATTTTTGAAGGACCATTAACATGAATGGATCACACATCATTCTAGACCTAATTCATTACGATGTACCAAACTTCGTGCAAATCGAAAGATATATAGGGACTTTGGTACACAATTTACATTAAATCGGACGAAAATATATATGGGAGATATATTTAAATCTGAACCGATTGCCACGAAACTGAACACACATCATTCTAGACCTAATTCAGTACACTATACCAAATTTCGTACAAATCGAAAGATATATAGGGTATTTGGTGGACCATTTACATTAAATCGAACGAAAATATATATGGGAGCTATATCTAAATCTGGACCGATTTTCAGGAAACTTAACACACATCTTTCTAGACCTACTTCAGTACACTATACCACATTTCGTACAAATCTAAAGATATATAAGGACTTTGGTGCACCATTTACCTTAAATCGGACGAAACTATATATGGGAGCTATATCTAAACCGATTTTCTCGAAAATTGACACACATTATTCTGGAACTAATTCAGTACGTTATGCCAAATTTCGTGCAAATCGAAACATATATAGGGACTTTGGTGCCCCATTTACCTAAAATCGGACGAAAAAATATATGGGGGCTATATCTAAATCTGAACCGATTTTTCCCAATTTCAATAGGGTTCGTCCTTGGGCCAAATATGTGAGCTGTGCCATATTTCATCCAAATCGGATAATAAATGCGACCTGTATTTTGTTTACAATTTAACATGGACAGACAGACGGACGGACGGACATGCATAAATCGATTTAAAAAGTGATTCTATGCATATTCTCAAAAGGAACAATGTGTCTATCTCGATTCCTTTTGCCTGTTACAAATATATGCACAAAGACATAATACCCTGTACCACAGAGTGGTGAAGGGTATAAATATGCCATTAACAGTGGCTAATGGATGTTCTGAGGCACCCTTTTTGTCTGAAGATTTTATTCTCATGACTCACCCTGTTTTATTTTTTGTTTGTTTTAGGAATCCATGAATCGCCCTGTTTCCGGCTCAGATTTTGGCGTCATAATACCCTTAAAGGGTAGCCTACACACCATCGTCGATGGTACTGAAACTGATGAAGATCGTAAATCACACACATCCGCACACCAGCAACAACAACAATACCAACAACAATTACAACAGCAGCAACAACAACAAACCACACATGAATATAGCAGCACATCACCCATGTTAAATACCCAACCAGCTTTACAGCTGCTCTATCAGCAACAACAAACGGCCATGCCATCATTCGATGGCACCGTGGCCAGTTCCTGCCAATTAGACAATAATAGCCCAAATCCACAGGCTGAGCGGCGCCTGCAACATCAAATGTCTTCCGGTTTTGGTACACAACCAAATGATTCACGTGATGATCCGACCACCTATACCGAATCCATTGAACTACAACTAATGGGTCAGTATAATTCCACAGACACAGATCCCTATAATCAGGATCAACGAAGTGGTTCTTATATGCGTGGTGATTCCTTTCAAGAGCGTATCTCAACACGACTCTGTAGCGAGGAACATGACGAATCATATTTACAATATCAGAAATCGTTGTTGACACGATCGCCTAGCTATCGCAAATCCTTGGATCGCCTGTCACAGTCCAGTGACCAGTCCCAGCGATCGCTGATACCCTCACGACGTTCAGACGATGAAATCGTCTCAAGTATGCGACGTGACACAAGTGGCCATTCGTTGAATACAATCTCGATGGAACAGGAGGAGTTGCTGTCGAATCATGTCAATCTTAGGGATGAACTGCTGAACTGTGATCAGAAGGAATTATTTCAATTTTTACAGGAAGATGCCCAGGATAATAGCCACAATTATTTTAGCGATACGGTAGGTTATGGCTCGACCATGGATGCCGACACGGATTCGTTAATCGTCAACGAAAGTAAACGTGAAGAGCGCAAACCCTCGACCAGCAGCATCAAATCGAATTTAAGCTACATCTCCAATTCCATACTGCAGACCATAGAGTCTCGGCGGAATGGTGGTAGCCACTCCTCCAATGGTAATGGTCACGATAATGAATCGGTACCCTTGGTAGAACACTCCGAATTTGATAACATCATACAGAGTTTTGAAAAGGAATTGGAAGAGATTAAAAAATCCACCACTTCACTGGAAAGAAGGTTGTCAACGCTGTCCGAACCCTCACCGGCAGCTGATGAGGCCAATAAGGCGATATTGGAACATATCGCCGTCATCACAGGGGCCTCGGAGAGGACGGCAGCCGATGAAGTGGTAACACCACTGAATCCCTACGATAGCTACGATTTGTCCACTGTGCCACGAAGGCAACACTCCCTGCCGGCCAACACAAATCGTGCTTCGGTCAAGATCAAACGACGAAGCCTTGAAAAACAACGTAAAATCGATGAAGACTTTTGCATAAGCAATGAAATACGCAAGATCTGTGATCAAATACAAGCTCCCTTTGCCTCGGTGGAGGCAATGTCGATTGCGGCCACTCAAGCCTCTGGCGCCCAATCGCCATTTATGCGCCGGAAAAGTGATCTCTTTAGTGCTCAATTTGATCGTTTCAAACGAATGTCGCTAATTGAGCGTGTCGACGAGGTACCCGAAGAGGATAAGCCCATTTCAACGCTACGCATGGAATCGGAAAGGTTGCCGCGTAAATGTCTGACCGTTGATGGGGCGGACAAAATCGAAAGTCTCTCACTGAAAAGTACAAATTCTTATGAAAATCTCTTGCTGCACAAACAATTGACCCAATTAGCTCAACACCAACAACAACAGCAGCACCAGCAGCAGCCACATCTTTTGCATCATCACGACTCTTCCAATTCATCGTCCGCCGTTGTACCACCCACACCACCAGCCTCGCTAAAGTCTTCTATCGAACCACCCACACTGGCGCAAATGTCGTCGCTGAAGGCGACACCACCGCTGACGGCCTTAACCGAACACCAGCAACATTTCCATGCCACCAATGCTCAGATGCGCGCCACACCACTCCTCCCAAGGGCTGGGCAGTCGCGTGCCAATAGCGTTGACACCGAACAACTGCAACAGCAAAAGAAACAACAGCGGCGGCTGCAAGTCAAGTCACGCTCAGAGCATCCACAATCGGCACTAGACAAAGCTGGTTCTTTTCAATCGGCCCGCACCGAATCGCATAGTTCGGGTGCGGCCGATACCTCCTCAGCTCTGGCACTGGCCGCGGCCGGCGATGTGATTGTGGGACAGTTGCAGTCGGCCGGTGGGTCACAAGATAAGAGCGGTGATGCGCTCCAGTCGCAAAAATCTGCATTTTCACGACTGACTGAAAAACCATGGCATTGTCTGGTCTCCTACGTAGACGATCTCACAGTGGGTGGGAGACGTAATTCGCAGGGAGCATACAATGATCCCATGACTTTTCCAAGTTTCGGACATTCGAAGCCACCAAAAGTGCCAGATGATTGTTTTCCGCAGAAGTGTTATGAACAGTAAGTGGGAGGATAATGTTCCTGATGAGTATTTAAATAATTTATTTTCTTTTGTCCTGCAGCTTTTATTTTCGCTGTCCTTGGTTTATGTCATGTATGGATACACCGACCGCTAAACATTGGACACGCGTCAGAACGGCCGTCTTAACTGTTGTGGATACTCCAGCCTTTGAGTGGTTTGTCTTGGTGTTAATATTTGCCTCCAGCATCACATTGTGTTTCGAGGACATCTATTTGGATAGCAACAAATCTCTGAAACGTATCCTGTATTGGACGAATTTTTCGTTTTGTCTAATATTCGTCATCGAAATGGTTCTCAAATGGTTGGCATTGGGGTTTTCCAAATATTTTACAAGTTTTTGGACAATATTGGATTTTATAATCGTTTTTGTAAGTATAACGAGGAAGTAAATATGACGAGAAGGGAGGAAGGTAGCCAGAGGGAAAGAAAGAAGAAATTTTGGAGATTACAATCTTCGATTGAAATGCCTTTAGATTTTTATAGTCAACATATATTTATTCCGCTCGTTCGTAATATAATTCCATCAGTAATCGGGATCAAAAAAAAAAAAAAAAAAAAAGGAGTAGAGGAAAGTGGAAAAGAGGAATGATAGTGGAAGTTTAGAGAGTGTAGAAAACTGGGGGTCTATTCCGGAGAAGAATTCTAAATTATCAATTTCATATTTATCGAACTCTCTGTGTCTTCTGCCGCTTAGTGATGGATACATACAAAGTATATGTTCAATTGTTTCTAGATGTCATTTGAAAGTGAGAGATCTAATCCTGCAGTGACCTGTTATGATCACCACAACGATTTTAATCTTCCTCTTACTATGAGACAAAAGCGAAGAAGTTCTACGGCGAGAGGATTCCTGCCAGATGGCTTTTGAAATCCTGCATCTAGGTTCAGTTGACCATATGTTCAGGACTACCTCGCAGTAGCTCAAGTAGCCAATGGAAAGTTGTACAGATACCTCAATCGATAGATTGGATGATTGCGAACCCCCTCGAGCAATCTCATCCGTTTTTTTTATTTTCTTCTATGTTGCTATGTCCTGGAACCCAACTTAATTTAACCATCCGTCGTATATCATGAAAAGCATCCTTGCCATCTCAAACCGCTTTTGAGTTAATAATGCACGACTTTGGGGCTGCCTGACTATCGACATATATAGTCAACGGTCCTATGTTGTCGGCAGTAAGTGTTTTGACTATCTCAGCCGCTTTCGTGATAGCCAGGATTTCTGCGTGAAAAACACTGCACTATCTCCATGTTGACTGCCTTGCCACCCTACAAGTCAACCATATGTACGAATGTTGAGTACAACCGTTACATACCGCAAGTTTATGATTTCTGGTTTTAGTCCCAACTCTTACCTATGGAGTTCTTGCAGGATTGGAGTGCTATTAGTCCTTTCATATGCTTTCCTCAACATTCTTTTTCCACGTTAGTGTGTGGTCAAGGACTGTACCAAGGTATTTTGGTTTTAAGGAAAGGATGGCGATCGGAAATTTGGGATTTTTCGTTTCCTAGTGGAGAGTGGTTTACGCCAAGTCCATTGGCGTGTGCCGAGTTGGACAGATTTAGAAGGGCATCTAGCATGATATCAGAAATAGTCGACAGAAACTTCCCACCGACTAGCAAGACTACATCATCAGCATAGGCTACAGCCTTTATCTTAAAATGATCGAATTTTCCAGCAGTATCTCTTTTATGACCAGAAATCATAGTAAAGGTGATAATACTTCTCGTTGTGGTGTGCCTCTGTTGACAGATTTCCTCATGAATTGATAATTTAGCTTTCCACCATTCTATCAATCCAGTTCGTTAGGAGGATCGCTTCCAGCTTCACATTGTTGAAGCCTCCTTCGATTTCAAGGAACGCAGCCAATGTGTAACCGGATTTCTCCATATTCTTCTGGATGCGTCCAACATCGCATCCTCGTTGTGGTGTGCTTCTGTTGACAGATTTCCTCACGAATTGATAATTCTGCTTTCCACCATTCTTTCAATCCAGTTCGTTAGGAGGATCGCTTCCAGCTTGACATTGTTGAAGCCTCCTTCGATATCAAGGAACGCAGCCAATGTGTAACCGGATGTCTCCATATTTTTATCGATGCGTCCAACACCGCATCCTCGTTGTGGTGTGCCTCTGTTGGCAGATTTCCTCACGAATTGATAATTCTGCTTTCCACAATTCTATCAATCCAGTTCGTTAGGAGGATCGCTTCCAGCTTGACATTGTTGAAGCCTCCTTCGATATCAAGGAACGCAGCCAATGTGTAACCGGATTTCTCCATATTCTTCTCGATGCGTCCAACATCGCATCCTCGTTGTGGTGTGCCTCTGTTTACAGATTTCCTCACGAATTGATAATTCTGCTTTCCACCATTCTATCAATCCAGTTCGTTAGGAGGATCGCTTCCAGCTTCATATTTTTGAAGCCTCCTTCGATACCAAGGAACGCAGCCAATGTGTAACCGGATTTCTCCATATTCTTCTCGATGCGTCCAACAACCTGACGTAAAACAGTCTTAAGAAGAAAGGAAATTCGGCTACTGATCCTATAATCAAGATCAACAAAGTGTTTTTTTTTGTGAGGGGGATAACTTTCAAAAGCTTATCTCTACTGGCCTCCATAACGAGGAACATGACGAATTATATCTCGCAAGCCTATCACAGTTACAATGAATTTTTTTCTTGTGTCTGTCACAGCGTTGTGATTTCGGTAACCAAAATATTTTCCTTTACGCCAAAAAAGTTATTTACTCAATTGTGAAAGGATGCCAGATATGGTGACAATTGTACCAAATATGAAGGTTTAATTCAAATAATAGTCCGTTGACTCTACAATGACCATGAAGATGAATTTTCCTACTCACTTTGCTTACAATGTATTTTTTTGTGTCTATCGAATGTCGAATGACAGTTTCTCTTTTACTAGATTTACTGTTAGAAAATTACAATTAATGTTCTCTTTACTCTTCTGGCTACACTCTTTCTACAATATATATCTCATAAAATCCAACCCAACACATAATTAATTTTTGTATATTTTTTCCAGGTCTCCGTTTTCTCATTGCTCATCGAAGAAAATGAAAATCTAAAAGTGTTACGTTCATTGCGCACCCTGAGAGCGTTACGTCCATTGCGTGCCATATCCAGGTATGTTTGAAAAGTTCCATTGTCAGTTTCTTATGTTTGTATTGTTTCCTTTTTATTCTAATTATTGCCAAAATGTTATAAATATTTGTTTTTGAAAAAAAAGAAAAAATGCCTTTCTCTTTATCTCTCTCTATATATATTATTGATATAAATGTAATAAAATTATTTTTGAATGCTGTTTAATTTTTGATATGATGTATATTTTTTATATATACTTGGAAAAAAAATTTACTAATTTTTTTCTTAATGTACATCAAACCATTTTGTTATTACAAATTAAATATCGAATTTGAAAAGAAAAAACTCTACACCACAAAGAAAATTGATTTTATAGATCTTTATAAATTTAATAATTAGGGTTTATAGTCGAGTCGTCTTTTAATGAAAAATCTATTAATTTGAAAAATCGATTAATTTGGAGTCATTTACACATCTTTATGTGTTATTACGTTTCAATCCTGTGTGATATATCATTTGATTTTGAGGCTTGTCAGATAGATAGTAGATTCAATATCTGCCGAGATGGCTTAACATAAACTGAACTGCAAACGTGATAAAACAAAGGTGCCATTATGTGATCGAGAATTTTTCTACATATAAAATCTGTAATTCTATTGGCCTTCAGTCACGAGTAGGATAGTTATGGGAGTTCAACGAAAATCCATTAAAATACTTCTGATAGTTTATCTGTCTTGTGCAAGATGGCGCGTTTGTGTATTTGTATAGCAAATACACACCCGAAATGTGGCAATATATAAATTTCGTATTGAGATCGACTATGAATTAATAATGAAAAATACTATGCTTAATGTGGGTGATACAATTTTCCAAAACAGTTTATATTTTTGGTAGAACTCCAAATGTGGTAGACATACATATTTATATTGTGATAGAAAATATTTCTAAATTTAATATTTCTAATTGGAGTAGGTTAGTTATGGAAGTTCGACGAAACGGTACCATCATGTCATCGAGGATTGTTGTACATATAAAATCTCGAATTAGATTAGTCTTCAGTCACTAGTAGGATAATTATGGGAGTTCGACGAAACCCCATTTAAATAACTCAGATAGTTTAGATTTGTTGTGCCAGATGGCGCTGTTTGGAATTGGATAGCGAAGACACGCCCCAACTGTGATAGTATTTAGATGTGATATTGAGATCGACTACGAACTAATAATAAAAAATATTAAATGCAACCTATGTTAAATGTGACAATTCTCCAAAAGGGTTCATATTTTTTGTAGAACTGTGATGAAATATAGGTGTCATCTTGTAATAGAAAATATATCCGCATATAATTAAAATACTTCAGTTAGTTCAGCTGTTCTGTGACAGATGGCACGGCTTTTTTTAATCAAAGCGTAGACACAAATCAAATGTGATGATATATAGATGTCATATTATGATCGACCACGATCCAACTGGAAGTTCAATGTGGGTGACACAATTCTTCAAAAGGTTTCATATTCGTGGTACATCAAATTTTGTACTCTCTGGTGAATTTATCGATGCTAATAATTGTCATAAAGTGGACTCCAAATGGTATGAAACGCCATACACGTGATTCAGAAATACATATAATATTTTTAATTCAAGTGGGTTAGTTATGGGGGTTCGATGAAAAGCCATTAAAATACTACAGCTAGTTCATATGTTTTGTGACAGATGACGCGTTTTTTTAAATCAAAGTGTAGACAGAAACCAAATGTGATGATATATAGATGTCATACCATATTCTCCAGAAAGGGTTCATATTTGTGGTAGATCAAATTTTGTATTCTCTGTTGAATTTGTCGATGCTAATAATTCAAATGTCATGAAACGTCGATACATGTGATTGAGACATTTTCTACATATTTAATGTTTAATTCAGTAGGGTAGTTATGGGAGTTCGATGGAAATCCAGTAAAATACTACAGCTAGTTAAGCTGTTTTGTCACTGATGGCACTGTTGTGTTTATAATAGCATGGACACAAACCAAATGTGATGATATATAGATGTCGCATTGTGATCGATCACAATACTAATAAAGAATAATATTAACTGCAATTTGTGCAAAATTTGGGTAAAACAATTCTTCAATTCATATTTGTGGTAGAATGAAGTTTGATGCCGATGTCTAGAAATTTTCAATGGAGTTTACATAGGATAATATCAGCTGAACAATATAAGTCGCATTGTGATCGATGCAAAATTTGGGTAAAAGAATTCTCCAATTCATGTTTGTTGTAGAATGAAGTTTGATACCGATGTCTATAATTTTTCAATGGAGTTTACATAGGACAATATCAGCTGAACAATAAAAGTTATATTTCTTTCATTTTTATATCAATTTTTTTTTTGCTAAGTGGTGTAGAGTTAAACATCGGTCCCTTTATCCGATGGATTTTTTAAATTATCAACCTTCTACAATTCTACAAAATCTCTCACCTATCTATTTTCAAACTATTTCTAACACCTCTTTTATTTTCACTTTTATAAATTAATATTTATTTTTTTTATTTTCCATTAATGGACGCTTTAAATTGGCAACATTGCAAATTTCTTTTCATTTTCTATGAAAAAAGAAAAGAAAAAAAAACTAAAACAAACTTAAAAGTATTGTTTTTTTATAAATATGTAAAAAGAAAGTTAAAATAAATAAACCAACTTTTTTTTCTGAAATTAATTTGGAAGTATTTAATACAATATCGTTTTCTTTATGGATTTTGAATAGAAATAATTCAAAGAAAGAAAAAAAAACAAGAACAGCAAAAACGTATACAAACAACAAAATTATCCTTGTAAAATGTTATCCTTAAACGTGTGTGTTTGTTTTGTTCATACAAAAAAAAAGTAAAAGTCCAAACTTCCAAATGTGTGTAATTTAAAAAGAAAATTTAATACTAAATTTAAATAATTTATGTATGTTTTTTTCCTCTTTGACAGGAAATTAACTGGCTGCTTCAAAAAGTATACTTATAAATAAGTTCAAAATTTGTTAAAATTGGCATGTTTTGTTTCTGAATTTTATTTCTCCACCCCAATGTTTAAAAATTTAATCTATCCCTCACAAAAGCTAATCTAACACGCAAACCACTTTGCCAGAAATATAAACACCGTAATACAGAAATACACCTCTTCGTGGTGAAAAATTCAAATTTCAAAATGTTTCCCTAGACGATTTTCAACAAGTTTGAAATTTGGAATTTTCATCTCCACTCTTTCACAATGCACTCAGACAATTGCAAATTTCTGCACAAGTGAACACCTTTGCGTCAAGGCAATCGAACATCACACCCAACTCAAACACGCTGCCTTTCTTAAAATACACCTCAAACAAACATTTCACCTACTAACCCCCCCCTAAAAAACTACACAGGCATGTTATTATATTCTCTTTTTTTGAATCCGATAATCGGTAATTTAACAATTTGATCAATTTCTCAAATTTGTATGTGTGTGTGAGTTTGTTCATAATTTCGTTTTGATTTTTGAAGAAAATTCCAAACCAAACCAAAAACCAAAGATTGTGTATCCCACCTTGTTTTTTTTTAATATTTACTGTGTATGAGTGTGTATGTCTGCGCCTATCTCTCTGTCTCTCTCTCTCTCTATCCATATAATATCCATTTCCGTTTTCCTTGTTTTTGTCAATCGATTCAATTCAATTGTGTATTACCTTTCTAACAATCAACCAACCAACCAATCAATCAATCCTTTGCCAATCACAACTTGTCTGTATCGAACATGAAAATTTTATTTCTATTCCAGGTGGCAAGGAATGCGAATTGTAGTAAATGCTCTCATGTATGCCATACCATCAATTTTCAATGTACTTTTAGTTTGTTTAGTTTTTTGGTTAATATTTTCTATAATGGGTGTACAATTTTTCGGTGGTAAATTTTTCAAATGTGTCGATAACGATGGAGAGCTCTTACCAGTCACGGTTAGTTCAATGCTTACAACAAAATCTAATTTATATAAAAAAAAAATACAAATATTTTTTTGTTTTCGTATTAAACACGTAATGAAATTTATCTACGAGTAAATAAACAAATATTTTTTGATACCCTACACCAGGTGTTGCTGAGAAAAGGAAAAGGGGTTACCGTTTATGTGATATTATTTAAAAAACAATTCAAAATTTAATCGAAGAAAAATAAAATAATAAAAAAAACTATATATACAAAGGAATGAAGTGCAAGTTTGAGCGAAAGGAAAAAATTTTAAAAAATTGTTGATGGGTAAAAATGCGACTAGAAAATATTAAAAAATACTCTTATAAATACGGTAACTGTAAATGAGTCACATCCAACTGGTAGCTATTTATTTATTTATTTAATCTATTAGTCTATGGATAATTCCTTACAGACTATATATGTACATAACTAATAATTGTATAATTAAAATTAAGAATTTAAAAACATTATTATTTTACTTTTTATAGTATTAATATCCATTGTAAAATCGATAAAATTATAAAACGCGTTAAAATCTTTTGAAATTCTTGTTAAAGGATCAGCGTTTGCATAGCTCATCCTGGAGAATTGAATTGCTAGTGGTGCATAGTGGCGGGTAGTACGTTGAGGAACATTGAAATTTATGTTGTTAACAAGAAAGCCAGCAGAAATATCACCCATAATCACATTATAAAAAAATGAGACATTTAGCATTTTTCTACGGCTTTCCAGAGTTGGCAGCTTGATCAGTGAGAGTCTATCAGTGTATGGTGGAAGATTATCATATGAAAAGTTCAAACTTCGTAGACAGAAAAGTAGGAATTGTTTTTGAACAGACTCGATGCGGTCGCTGTGTGTTTTATAAATTGGATCCCATATGACCGAAGAGTATTCCAAAATTGGGCGAACAATTGACATGTATAAATTTTTTGAAACATAAGGATCCTTAAACTCTTTACTCCAACGTTTCACAAAACCAAGAACTGATTTTGCTTTGTTTATAGAAACAGAAATATGAGATTTAAAGTTAAGTTTACAATCCAATACAACTCCAAGATCAACGAATGTATCAACTTTTTCCAGAGAATAATCACCGAGGGTGTAACAAGTATCCAATAATTTTTTTCTTGTGAATCTCATAAGTTTGCATTTCGAATAATTAATTTCCATAAGATTAATGTTGCACCATTTAACAAACGAATTCAAATCATTTTGAAGCAGCTGATTCTTACATATCTCCGAAATGCTAAGAAATATTTTCACATCGTCGGCATACATCAAAATATTTGAAAATTTTATAGATGAAGGTAGATCATTTATAAATAAAGAAAATAGGATTGGTCCTAGATGACTTCCTTGTGGGACTCCAGAAGAAACCATAATACTCTTCGAAATGTCGTTTTTAAAACATACTTTTTGTGTTCTATTTTGTAGATATGAAAAAATCCATTCGGAACTTCTATTTGTAAATCCAATGTTTTTAAGTTTTAATCGTAATAATTTATGATTAACTTTATCGAATGCCTTGCTGAAATCTGTGTAAATTACATCAGTTTGCTTTCCTTGAAGAAATCCTCGATATAGGGAGATGAAATTTAATATAAGGGGTAAGATACCATATTGGAACCCAAAGGGAATTCAACATAATTGTATTACGGGGTTGACATCATTTGATCGAGAATTGTTCCACATATAAAATCTCCAATTCGATTAGTCTTCAGTCACGAGTAGGCTAATTATGGGAGCTCGACGAAACTCCATTAAAATAACTCAGGTAGTTTAGATATGTTGTGCCAGATGGCACTGCTTGTATTTTGGGATAGCGAAGACACACCCCAAATGTAGTGATATATAGATGTCAACAACTCGATTCGGGTCGTACTTAATACATAGATGGAATAAATAATATTTTCTTATTAATAGGCAAAAGTTCATTCCTACTATCGGAAATAGTTTTTGAGATAAAAGTCATAGCCCTAATATGTTGTAGTATTCAGGACATCATTCTAGTGGGTTTTAATATTATTTGTCTCACTTACCAGTCTATTGATTTTTAATATGTTTAGATTTGTTGTGCCAGATGGCACTGTTTGTATCTTGGGATAGAGAAGACACGCTCCAAATGTAGTGATATATAGATGTCAAAAACTCGATTCGGGTCGTTCTTAATACATACATGGAGTAAATAATATTATAGTCATTACATCCCACTATCGGAAATAGTTTTTGAGATAAAAGTCATAGCTGTAATATGTTATAGTATTCAGGGCATCATTCTAGTGGGTTTTAATATTATTTGTCTCACTTACCATCCACTATCGGAAATAGTTTTTGAGATAAAAGTCATAGCTCTAATATGTTATAGTATTCAGGGCATCATTCTAGTGGGTTTTAATATTATTTGTCTCACTTACCAGTCTATTGATTTTTCGGAAAAGGAGATTAAGATTCACAAGGAATCCAAGGCATACCTCCTAATTATAGTCACATCGATGTGAAATTCGGTTAAAATGTACCGAAAATACTTCGAGACCTTTATGTGAGCTTTCACCCTTCAATATCCCGGAATGTCAAATGAGAGCCACTACAATGGGAAAATTAGCCTAAAACCTTTAAAATACTGACAATGGGGCTCCATATTTATATGGGGCTATCCCAACACATGGACCTATATTAATAATTTTCTATATGTATGTAAGTCAGTCTTCAAACCATTTATACCAAATATATCTCAAGGAAAACGCAGCTAATCCCTTCAAAATACCGAAACTGGGGTTCTATAATTTATTTCCCAGCTATACAAAATCGTAAAATGATATTGACGAACCTGAAAAGTCAAATTAGAGCAAATGGACGGATGAAAAAATTGACCAAAATTCTCAAAATACTGACTTGGGTCAATATTAATAATTGCGGTTAAAAAGTGTTCAAAATAATCAAAATACCGAACAACTGTACCAAACAGGGAGTTTTTATTTCTTTCACATTACCCCATTTGAAATTATTATCTTGTGTGAACCATTTGTGCAAGAATATATTTTCTCATGTGGGAAACTGGTCATTCGATTTGCCTGCAATCATGAGTAGGATAGTTATGGCAGTTCAATGAAAACCCTATTGAAAACCCTGATTTAGATGTGTGTGCTACCATAACACAAATGCTTAGTATACCATAGCAAAGACACAAACAACATGTGGTGAAATGTAGGTAGATAATATTGTGATTAATCACGAATTAATACGGGGAATATTAATTGTAAGTCCACCATGAGTTGGACATTCATAATGTATTCAAAACACATACCTCATTTAGATGTGCGTCATAAGATGGATGGTTAGTATATTTACTATAACGAAGACACAAACAACGTGTGGTGAAATGTAGATGTCATATTGTAGTTGATCACGAACTAAAACGCTCCACCATGAGGTGGACATTCGAAATACCTAAAATATATCTTACTTACTTTTACTTAGCTGGCTCGAGACAGAACATTTGTTCCATATACCGAAAAGATTTCCAAGCGCGTGTGCGCAGTTTTTTTTCAATTTGAAAGACCATGCATTGATATGTCATTCTCCACTTGATCTTTCATTGAATTCGCGCCCTCCCCTCCTGCATGAACCATCACTTGGCTCGCTTTTATATGCCTTTGGGCTGGGGCATCCTCATCCATTTGCACAACATGGCCTAGCAAAAAGCAACGCAGATTGGCCCACAGATTTTCCGCAGAATTTTTCTCTCAAACAAGAGCTGATCATCTGCTTGCGCAACTACCCATGCTTCAGATACATACTCCAACACAGGTGGTATCAGCGTCTTGTAGAGCGTGAGTTTGTTCTGGCGACAAGTGGTCTTTTTTTGAATTGACCGGATAGTAGCATCTGTTGGCCAATACTATCCTATCCGAATTTCAAAACTGATGTCATTAGTTTTATTTATGGCGATATCGATTCATATAAAATCTTTAACTACTTCGAAACTGTAGTTCTCAAGTTCCACAGTTGGTCCGAGTCTACTGGACGTGTTGTGCTTTGATATCATCAGCTTGGATTTCTCGCCATTTACTGCCAGACCTACTTTGGCGGATTTCTTCTCAATTCGTTCAAAAGGCGGCTGTTACCGCTTCAATGTCGTCGACGTAGGCTAGTAACATATGCAGTTTGGTGTACAGAATGGCATTTTTGCATCGTGCATGACCATTTCCAGCAGAATGTTAGAAAGGTCACACAACAAACTGTCACCTTGTCTGAATTGTCATTGGGTATTGAAGGACTCCGAGAAGTCCTTTCCGACTTTAATTGCTGACCTTGTGCCAGTTAAAGTTATCCTGCATAGCCGTAGTAATTTCGCAGGAATGCCGAACGCAGACATGGCTTCAAACACCTCGGAACGGATAGGGCTGTCGAATGCGGCTTTATAGTCGACAAATTGGTGGAATGTGTCGTTGTGTTTTTCGTGGATCTTTTCAAGGATTTGGCACAGAGTGAAAATCTGGTCAATCGTCTTGTCCCCCTTTTTGTGCACGGGACACGCTGAGGTTCCAATCATTGGACATGCATTCCTCTAGCCAACTTGACCACCGGTCTTGAATAGTTCGGCTGGTAATCCATCGTCATTACTATTATTCTTCAGTCGATTGATATATCACCTTGGCTAGGTGGTATACACTCCATACCGTCATCTCTGATTGGTTCTGGGGTATCTTCTTCGCTGCCATTATTTGATACCAAAAGCATTGCAAAATACTCCTCCACATCCTCAACACGCTGTCTGTATCTGTCACCAGGTTTCCATCTTCATCTCTACAGGAAGATGTGCCTGCACCAAAGCCTTCGGTTTGGTGTTTTACTCGTTGGTAAAATTTTTTGGATTTCGATCTGATTCCTGTACATCTCGATTTGCTCACGCCCACGTTTTTCTTGTTCATTCTTATTGTTTTTTTTTTTTTGAAAATACGTTTCTCCTCTCTCCTTTTCTCCCGATAATTCTCCATCGCATTACGTGTTGCTACTGTTTGCAGTGTTGCCCTATACGCTGCGTTTTTTAACTCAGTAGCATTGCGACATTCCTGATCGTACCACTGGTTTCTTGATGGTGGGTTTTGGTACCCAAGTTTTGCTTTTGCTGCAGTTTGTAGGGAGTGGGTATCTATTTTATTATTATATGGACAAGGAGTGCTTTCGTCTAGCAAGTGGATGAGTTGAGCGGCGTAGGCTTCTGCTATCTGTTGTGTTTGCAGCTTTTCAACGACGAGTTTTCGTGTTGTGTTATATCGCACCTTTGCTGACCAGTGTGAACTCTCGCTGCTACAAGGTAGTGGTACGAATCGATATTCGTTCCTTTGATCGATCGAACGTCTAAAACACGTTGCCTTCCGTCCATCAAAGGATGGCCTTGTGTATATCGAGATGCTTGAATCTGGTGCTGCTAACTACCATGTTTTTGGCTGCCGCGAAGACAATCAACCACATGCTGTTGTCGGATGTTTCTTCATGTAGGTTGTGTTCACGTAGCGAACATGGGTTTCGTATATAACATTTTGTAAGTTTGGGTGAGATTACGGGGAGTAATTTACACTACAGATTGATAAGCTTGTGTGGAGGTCTGTCCTGTCATGTCATGTCTCGTTTCATGGCCTCAACCCATTTCTTATAGTTCTTATGGATGAACTAGCAGCACTATTTCAAGGGGTGATGAAAGTAACTACCGCAGGTTGTTGTTGTTGTAGCAGCTAGTACAGCTGTGTATTTTCAATTTTCTTCAATCTGGTTCTGCCTCTAACTCCAAATTCAGAAAGGCTGCGACCTTTACAGGTTGAGTCCAGAGAGAAGATAGGGTTAGGAGAGTGGGCTTGGCTGGGAAGTTGAACAGATGTAGCGTGTCATGTGGTCCGTTACCACATGCCGGGCAGACATTGTCGACCTCTCCATCAATTCGTACCCAATACGAATTGAGGCGGCTACACCATCCAGATCTCAGTTGTGCCAAGACCACTCTAGTTTGTCGAGGTAGCTGCTGCTCTTCTGCGGCTATCAAAGGCGGATGGTCTCCGAGGATGGTATTCACGCGATATTCTTGAACTGCTTCCTCAACTACGTCCGTGTGAATACTGTTCAATCCTGCTTGATAGGCCAGTTGATCTAGAGGCTCCCTTTTGTACCTCTGAACCTCTCTCTCCAGATCATGGAGATCCTTCCTGACATGCCTGGGTGGTGGGTGCCTATCCATTAGGTAGCGGTTCGGATGGCTGCTCCTATAACACCCAAGCAAGTATTGCATCAACAACATCTTGTTGTGTTGACGCACAGGAAGGATCTTCGTCTCCTCATGCAAGTGGTCTATTGGAGTCATGAGGAGACACCCTGTTGCAGTCCTCAGGGCGGCATTCTGGCAGGATTGAAGATTTTTCCACTGCGTTGCACTGACGTTAGCGGACCACACTGGCGCCGCATAGTTTACCACAGACCGGCCTATTGCTTTATAAGTCGTTAACAAGGTTTCCTTGTCAGCTCCCCAAGTGCTGCCGGCTAGCGACTTGAGTACCTTGTTTCTGCTCCTGACTTTATCGCAAATAGCTGTGGCATGCGCGGACGACTTGTATAGGCTATCGAATGTGATCCCTAGGACCTTGGGGTAGTTAGTGGTCGGAATTGTGGACCCCTCGACCTGCACATTCAAAGATAGATTCATCTCCGCTGTCCATGTGGTAAACAGTGTGGCAGTTGACTTAGTGACGGATATTTTCATATTCCTCGACCGGAAAAAAATCAGCGATATCCACGAGATAGTAGTTCAGCCTCTCGCAAATGTCATCAATTTTAGGTCCTGACGCCATTATGGTGCATTCCGCATAAGTCACGATCTTTATGCCGTCCGGTGGGCGTGGAATTCCAGAGAGGTAGAGGTTAAACAGTTCCGGAGATATCACCCCTCCTTGGGGAACTCCCTGTTTAACTCTACGGGCCTTCGATTTCCTGTCTCTGAATTCCACGTACGACTGGCGTCCACACATATAATTTACGATCCAACGTTTCAAACATGACCGGAAGGTTGTTCTCTCGATGTTATCGAACAGCTTGGCGTGACTGACGGGCTATCGCAGGTGACACCGCGGGAATGTCAGTGTACACAATTGAGATGAAAGAGGGACCAAGATATGGACATGGACTTTGCCATGTTAAAGACAATCGGAGCCGTTGCTTGATATCTATCATCCGCTAGGTCACCCGTATACCCTGTCTTATTATTTTTGTTCGAATTTTTCTGTCGAGCATGAGGCCAAATAAGATTTAGAAAGTGTTTAACATACTTCTATAATTTGTTAAATATAAATTATATTTAAATCTTTATAATATTCGCTATTTTGTTCAAAAAGAAATTCATAAAAATCTCAAATACTTTAGAAGTTATAGAGGTTTTTGGAAAATGTTCAATAATTAATATTAGTTATACGCCATATGGTTCGCTCAATAAATATTAAAAATAATTACGTATACGCAACGCGGGACGTGTTAGTGCAAATTTTTCTAAGAACCAAAAAAAATCGTAGTTTTGAAAGAATATTTTTCATTTTCTTTTTATTTATTGAAAAAAAAGAATATTGCAAATTGTTTTCTTAAGAACAACATCAAGTAATTATCAATTTAAAATAAATTGAAGTTTACTTTAGGATTTTCTGGGTTGAATGAAATATCAAAATGTTTAAAAACACCGCGACAACGTTTGCAGTTTATAAATACAATTGGGATTAAAAACAATATACAGCTTTAAATTTAAACATATATTAGAGTCCTACCGAAATACACCCAACAATTCAAATACAAATTGTTTACAAAATTAAATACAAAATATCCTTTCTTTAAGGATATTTGCGAATTGTGTGGATTAAAATAATTATATATATTAAAAGAAAAAAAAAACAGCAATAAATAACACTTCTTAGTAAATAAAGATTTTAAAATCCCCCAACCCTGATTTCCCCAAAAAATACAATGTCATATATATATACAAATCTATAGAACAACACCTAGTGTATGGTAATAGAAAAAAACGGCATATGCCTGCAAATAATAACCCCTTAATTTTTTAAATCAATTTTGTATTCATATTTTCTAATAATTCACTTTTCAATTTTTTGTTTTTGGTTTTGAAACAAAAAACAAACCCCTTTCACAGGAAGTCAATGACAAATGGGATTGCATTGAGCAAAATTACAGTTGGATCAATTCGAAAATCACCTTCGATCATGTAGGTATGGGTTATTTGGCCCTACTGCAGGTGGCCACCTTTGAAGGTTGGATGGAAGTGATGGCCGATGCCGTCGATGCCCGTGGTGTCGATTTGCAGCCACAACGCGAAGCGAATCTCTATGCCTACATCTATTTTGTCATCTTTATTGTGTGCGGTTCATTCTTTACTCTCAATCTATTCATAGGAGTAATCATTGATAATTTCAATATGCTGAAGAAAAAGGTAAGTCACAAGGAGTCCAACCAAAAAACCGAGTAGGTAAAATGATTTTGTTTCTTATATATTGAGGCAAAAAATATTATTTAAATTGAAAAGAACTATACAATCGTTGTGATGACGAGGATCAAATTGAGGTTTGAGGATTTTTTATTTTATTTTATATTTTGAATACATTGATGATGAAAACAAATGTAAATTATATTTGGAAAGAAATAAAGGTAAATTTTGTATTTATGAAAATTCCCTTTTGGAATTTTCTTAAAAATCAAATTTTTAGCTCAACTCAATTGTGGGTTTGTAAAATAATAATTGTTCTTAACAAACACTTTGAAATACCTAGATGTTATTGCGTTTTTATTTTAAATATCTATACAAAAAAAAAAAAATAAAACAAATCACTCGTTCTGATCTGAGTTCTTTTTAATAAAATCACACACACCTTTATTGTATTTATATTTTATTTACATTAAGTGCAGTGTACAGTGTTTGAAAAATATGAATTAAAAATAGATAAATGCAAATCTATATATAACAAGTGAAAAAGCGTTAAGTTCGGCCGGGCCGAACTTTGGATACCCTCCACCATACTTATACTGACAGATACGTGCAATGCAAATATGGGGAACATATCAAAAAGTGGGCATATACCAATAATTCTACCAACCGATTTATGTAACCCATTATGTACACCAAATACAAACTTCAGCAATTTTTAATGGGTAGGAAATAGTGAATATTTGGGGATCTCATTATATGAGGGCTATGCCTAATTAATGGCCGGTATACGTCAATTTTGAACCCAATATTTTAATTGTTTATCTCAATTCTTTCCTTCAGGAGGTACTCTATATTGAGGAGATGCCTAAATGTCTGCCGATGTATTTCATTATAGTCATGTTTGAGTTTTTTTATCACAATATCTTTAGAAGGCGGAAAGCTTACAACAGATGGATAAATAGTCTTTGTAGGGTAACAATTTACTATTCCCCGTAACGACTACCCAACCGCAACACACGGAACAAATCAGAGAACTATTTTAATATAAAAAAGGGGGTTATATCGGAAATTGGGGGTAACATTATATGGGGGCTACCCGAAAAAATTTACCTATATTTATAATTTTTTGTGGAGAGATTTGCTACCCAATAAGAACTCAAATTACTAAATTACAGACAATTCGGTGAAATCCGGTCAAACTCCCCAAAAATTGGAAATTGGGAGGTACCCTTAAAATGGAGGCTACCAGAAAAAATGAACCTATATTTATAATTTTTAGTGGGGAAATTTGGCACCCAATAAGAACCCCATGTACCAAATTTCAGCGAATGCGGTTGAAAACCGCGCTCAAGAACCCTAAAATACCGATAATTGGGGGGTACTCTTATATGGGGGCTACCCGAAAAAATTGACCTATATTTATAATTTTTAGTATAGAGATTTGCTACCCAATAAGAACTCAAAGTTCCGAATTTCAGCGAATTCGGTCGAAAAGTGCGATCAAACCCCCCAAAATACCGCAAAATATGGGGGCTATCCGAAAATATGAACCCATATTTATAATTTTTAGTGGAAAAATGTGTTACATATGTTCAATATACCAAATTTCAGCGAATTCAGTTGAAAAACGCGCTCAAGAACCTAAAAATCACACGAAAATTGGGGAATTAATTCCATTTATTTGGGAAATGCAAACCGTACCGAGTACGTTTATTCAAAATTGCCAACTTTCCGATTTAATATGATCCGTTCGTGGTATATATAGAACATTATATAAAAACTTTTTTCATGTAATTTTACGATGTCAAGAATATATATCATTTATAAGGGGATATGATTATTTCGAAAAGTTCCAAAATGGCGGACCTAGAAAAATAATTTTTTTTTAAATCGCACATTTCGGACCAAAAATCAATAACGAAGATCTGGGCCGATTGCTAAAATGATCGTATTTGCAAAATACGTGTTTTATAGTTTGAGAAACACTCTCGCTTAATGCTGGCACAATAAATCGGCTATATCTTCAAGAGTTGTTGAGATTTTCACGGGAAAATTTACAAGGACATAGTGCAGGTTCGAATTAAATAAAAAAACCAGAATTACATTTTTGGAAATCGAGATCAGATATTTCGAGAACAATGTGACGTTTAGAGTTTGCCAAAAAGTACGAAAAATAAGTCTATTAAAATTTCAAGAATAAAAAATCATTATTTGATCGGGAGAATGTAATGTCCAGCATTGAAAATGTATGCTTGGTTAGAATTCATGCCTTTTATTAAGACAACGATCCCAAGCATGCTCACAAAATACTAAAGCAATGATTGGCCCACAATAATTCAAAACATTTTCGATCAGCACACGCTCCCAGGTTTTGGTATATCCCCCAATTTAAAGGTATCCTCAAATATTCAGTATTATGAGGGCGGTTCGGAAACTTCTTAGCCTATCAAATCAATATATGAAGGTATATCTGCATAAATTAAGTCTTTCGCGTAGCGCCATAATTAATGTTTAATGTTGTCAAATAGCATGATGTTGGTGGCCAGTTGTTAACGCCACGACAAGAAATTACTCAGGCAGGAAATGTATCCGTCATACCGTCATATTTGCCTGGGTTGTGTGGATTGTTGAAACCACATATTCTCTAAGCTATATTCTTCAATAATAATAAAAGTCGGTTGTCAAATGACAATACGGCCCGAATTGTCGTTTTCGATTAAGTAATGTCCAATCACACCTTTGGACCAAAGAGCGTACCAAACAGTGACATATTCTGGATGTAATGAGCACTCTTTAACTACTTGAACTACTTCGAGTGAGAAACGTGCTTCACTGCTAAAGAAAAAGCCAGTAATGAAAGTAGTAAAGTCGGACGGGGCCGACTATATGATACCCTTCTCCACTTTGGGTATATTCAACAGATTAATGCTAACAGACCTCGCATTTTTAAAGGACCAATAAAATGAAATTGGATCCATAAATATGTCATTCTGAAACCTATACTAAATTTTTCATTTGGTTAGATATAGAAGCTACATCTAAATCTGAACCGATTTCAGGAAACTTAACACACATCATTTTAGACCTAATTCATTACGCTGTGCCAAATTGCGTGCAAACCGAAAGATATTAAGGGACTTTGGTACACCAATTACCTTAAATCAGACGAAAATATATATGGGAGCTACATCTAAATCTGAACCGATTTTTCCCACACATTAGATCGATTCTGGTAAATGGTGAACCAAGATTTCGTGGCGTTACAAACTCTTGGGATCACAAACATTTTACAAAATTGTTCAATTTTTTAGAACAGAATAATTTTTTTCTATTTACAAAATTAACAAATATCAGAAGATGAAAAAATGAAAAAAAAAAATATTTCATAATTTTTCAAATACTGTACAACTGCCTTAAATTAGTATTACAAAAATATTTACAATTTAGTATAATTTATTAATAACTACTTAACATACAAAATTACATACATATATCTTATATAAATGTGTTTTTCTTTATATTCTATTTTTTAAAAAAAAATGTTTATTTACATGTTGAAAAAAAAATCAAAACTAAAAAAAATCCAACTCCATTGACAACTGTGTCTTTGTAACTGTATGTATGTATGACAACTACTACTACCACTACCACTAACTGTAACTGTGAATGTAAATATGTGAAAAACCAAACACCAAACTAAAAAAAATATCATCACCAAAATAAAACATTCACACACATAAATAAAAAAAACACTCACACGAAATAACAAAAACTTTTTAGTATGAAGGAGGAGTGTTGGAAATGTTTCTCACCGAATCGCAAAAGCATTATTACACCGCCATGAAAAAGTTGGGACGAAAAAAACCACAGAAAGTCATTAAGCGACCAATAAATCATTTTTTAGCTATGTTTTATGATTTATCCAATTCTCGAAGGTATGCCAATTCAATTCAAAACAATAACAACAACAATGAATTATTTTTCTTTTGTTATTAAAACAAAATAATTGCTAAAAAATTATGATTTATAACATTATTATTCTGTAACAAAAATAACAACAACAACTACAACGTAACGACTAAACCTCACCCAACCAAAACTGCAGCAGCTTTTCTTTAGTTCAGCCCTCATCCAAATGAAATTTTCAAAATTTTTTGGTTTCCCTTGTTTTGTTTTGAAATCTATTTAATATTTTTAAAAATATATAATTTCGAACACTAATTCAATTGTAAATAGTTAGGTTAGGTTTGAACAAGAGTATTTTTATAATTTGAAAAATTTTTTAATGACTTAATCTTTACAACACAAAACTCAAAACAACAACAAATGACACTATGACACCTGAAAAACAATGTTACACACACACAAACAAACTAACAAACAGCAAACCGCTAATCAACTTTCAAAGTGGTTTTCTTCCAATAGGATGCATACAATTTCCTTAAAAAAAATGTTTGAAAAAATAATTAGTTTTGTATTAGAACATTTTGTTGTGTAAACGTTGATTGATGATAAAGCCCAGAAAAAAAAGAACAAAACAAAAAATCTAAACCTTGAACGTTGCAGCCAACGTTTGAGGTTCGTTTTTTGTTTTTTAATTTTCTAGAAAAAAAATATAAAATAGAATAAATGATTTGGTGATTTGAAATTATTTGAACACTTAACTTCTCCTCATGAAGATATATTGCAGCATTTCCTGTCTGTCTTGTAGAGGGTGTTTTCAACTTTATAGCTTCTCGCCGCTGTTAAACTATAAAGTCTAAAGCATCGTAAATCAAAAGTTTAACAGATGATGATTTTATTACACCGACCTCTACCTCTCTACCTACCTACTAATGTTTCGTTTTCTTCTAACAACCGTTCCCCCCTGTGTCCTTCCCACCCCTCCGAAAACACAAAGACCATGTTTTGTTGTCTTAATGAAAAAAACCACTCCAAAAACTCTGTCTCTCTCTATCTACATATATCTGTCTCTAACTCTCTCTCTCCCTCTCTCTGTCTCAATATATGAAACTGTTCTTAGAAAGTTTGTTAAACAAAATCCCTGAATCCTGTGGTTCTAATTTTTTGAGTTATGTGTTCATTAAATGTAGTGTAATGTTGTTTGTAATTGTTGTAGTAAATTATACTTAATTTTTATTTTTATTTATTATTTCCTTGAAATATCAACATTAACTACTCATCAATTGACACCGCGATACACAAGAGCTTTTTATTAATGAAGAAAAAAATCCAAAGTGAAAATGTTGTACTAAAAATATTAAATAAAACTGGTGGATGATGAAATGTCATCGAATGATCGAATTATTTCCTCTTCTTATACCTTTCACCACACTGTGGTACAGGGTATTATGTCTTTGTGCATATGTTTGTAACAGGCAAAAGGAAATGAGATAGACCCATAGTTCCTTTTGAGAATATGCATAGAATCACTTTCTCAATCGATTTATGCATGTCCGTCCGTCCGTCTGTTGGTGTTAAATTGTAAACAAAGTACAGGTCGCATTCGAATTGGATGAAATTTCGCACAGCTCATTTGGCCCAAGGATGAACCCTATTGAAATTGAGAAAAATCGGTTCAGATTTGGATATAGCTCCCATATATATTTTTGTCCGATTTTATGTAAATGGTGTACCAAAATCCCCATATATATTTCGATTTGCACGAAATTTGGTATAGCCTACTGAATTAGGTCTAGAATGATGTATGCTAAGTTTCGTGAAAATGGGTTCAGATTTAGATATAGCTCCCATATATAGTTTCGGCCGATTTTAGGTAAATGGTGCATCAAAGTCCCTATATATCTTTCGATTTGCATAGGGCACTGAATGAGGTCGAGAATAATGTGCGGTAAGTTTCGTGAAAATTGGTTAAGATTTATATATAGCTCCAATATATAGTATCGCCCGATTTAAGGTAAATGGTGTACCAAAGTCCCTGAAAATCATTTGATTTGCACGAAATTTGGTATAGCCCACTGAATTAGGTCTAGAATGATGTGTGCTAAGTTTCGTGAAAATTAGTTCAGATGTAGATATAGCTCCAATATATAGTTTCGGCCGATTTTAGGTAAATGGTGCGCCAAAGTCCTGAAAATCATTTGATTTGCACGAATTTTTGCATAGCGTATTGAATTAAGACTAGAATGACGTGTGCTAAGTTTTGTGAAAATCGGTTCAGATTTAGATATAGCTCCCATATATAGTATGGCCCGATTTTAGGTAAATGACCTGCCTAAGTCCCTATATATCTTTCGATTTGCACGAAATTTTGTATAGTCTATTGAATTAGGTCTAGAATGATGTGTGCTAAGTTTAGTGAAAATCGGTTCAGGTTTAGATATAGCTCCCATATATAGTATGGCTCGATTTTTGATAAATGGTATACCAAAGTCCCTATATATATATATATTTCGATTTGCACGAAATTTGGTATAGCCTACTGAATTAGGTCGATAATGATGGTTTTATGTGCTACAGTTAGCTAGGCCGATTGAAAATCTGAAGTTAATATAAATTAATCGATATAGATATAACTCTTCCATATATAATTTCGACTTATTTTACGTTAATTGTACACCAAATAATCAATGGGTTTCTGAAAATGATTTGATTTGCACGAATATGATTTGTACATATGTAGTATATACCCAAAGTAGTGAAGGGTATCATATAGTAGGGCTAGTCCGACTTTACTACTTTCCTTACTGGTTTACCTTTCAAATTAAGAAAATTTAAGGGTACAAACCTTCGACATTGGAGGTGCCAATTGCCTTAAAAAACAAAATTACAGTTATCATGACGGAATCGATTTACATGTGTGCCCCATGTGAGAATAAGCTGCAAAACTATAAATCGTCAACAACAAGTGACAAATCGTTAAGTTACCCTGAAAATGGTTCGCGTCACACTTTATATAAGGATTATGTCAAAAGATGGACCTACATCGAACAACTTCGATCCACCAAATTTTTTTAATTACAGCTACTCGATGAGAAAAAGGTTCTACGAACTTTAGCGTACTCAAATAGCACGAAATTGGTATATGGAGGATATGTCCAAACATAGACCTTCGTAAAAAATTATCCGCAAAAAAATGTTCTACGCTAAAGAACGGCTATAATCTTCAAAATATCGAAAGTAGGGCGTTATTTTTATGTGAGACCTATGTGCAAACAAAATCGGAGAAATGATCGAAATTGACCGGCATGTTAGCAGTCGTAACATCGCCCATGAGCTAAAAATGTTTGGTTGCCACATCAATTAACAGAAAAAAACCAGTAATGAAAGTTCAAAAGTCGGACGGGCCAACTATATGCTACCCTTCACCACTTTGGGTACATACAAGTGAAGATAATGTATACAATATCCTCTTGATAGAAGCCACATATCATCTTTGGATGATCATTGATATGGATTCGGGAGGAAAACAAATGTGATCTACATTGATATTTGAACCAATAAAAAACCATCCACATACCATTCTGAAATCTATAAAAAATTGCATGTCAATCGGGCAGACTTGAATTTTTGGTGTAGCATTTGCATGAAATCCGGAAAATTTTATATGAGAGATATATGTAAATCTGAACCGATTTCAACAAACCTTCGAACACATCAAATTGGACTTAATTCTGTGAGCCGCGCAAAATTTTGTATCACCCTTTACCTAAATTCGGACGAAAATATATATGGGAGATAAATCTGAACCAATTTCAACAAACCTTCACACACATCAAACTGGACTTATTTCTGTAAGCTGCGCAAAATGTTGTTTCAATCGGACCAATATTAGCAGTATGGCGCTCCATTTACATGTAATCGGATGAAACTATATATGGGAGTTATATCTAAATATGAATCGATTTCAACAAAACTTGGCATATATAAATCTAGACTTAATTCAGTACTCTGTGCAACATTTTGTGCGAATCGGCCTAAATTTGATTCTTTGGTGATCCATTTACATAAAATCGGATGAAACTAGATATGGGAGTTATATCTAAATCTGAACCGATTTCAACAAAACTTAGCATACATCAATCTGAACACAAGTCAGTACACTGTGCAAAATTCTGTAACAATCGGACCAATATCGACAGTATTGTGCTCCACTTACATAAAATCGGACGAAACTATATATGGGAGCTATATCTGAATCTGAACCCATTTTCACGAAACCTAACACACCTCATTCTAGACTTAATTCATTGCTCTGTGCCAAATTTCGTGAAACTCGAAAGATATATAGGGACATTAGTGAAATATTCACCTAAAATCGGGCGAAGCTAAATATGGGAGCTATATCTAAATCTGAACCGATTTTCACGAAACTTTGCACACATAATTCTATATTCAATTCAGTGCGTTATGCCAAATTTCATGTACATCTAAAGATATATAGTACACAATTAACCTTAAATCGGACCAATATATATATATATGGGACCTATACCTAAATATGAAGCGATTTTCACGAAACTTAACACACAGCATTCTAGACCTTATTCACTACTTTATGCCAAATTTCGTGCAAATCGAAAGATATATAGAGACTTTAGTGCACTATTTACCTAAAATCGGGCGAAACAAAATATGGGAGCTATATCTAAATCTGAACCGATTTTCACAAAACCAAACTCACATCAGTCTAGACCTTATTCATTACTCTGTGCCAAATTTCGTGCAAATTGAAAGATATATAGAGACTTTAGTGCACTATTTACCTAAAATCGGGCGAAACTAAATATGGGAGCTATATCTAAATCTGAACCGATTTCTACGAAAGTTTGCACACATCATTCTAGGCCTTATTCATTACGCTATCCAAATTTCGTGCAAATCAAAAGATATAAAGGGACTTTGGTACACCATTTACCGTAAATCGGACGAAAATATATATGGGAGCTATATCTAAATCTAAACCGATTTTTCCCAATTTCAATAGGGTTCGTCCTTGGGTCAAAGAAGTGAGCTGTGCCAAATTTCATCCAAATCGGATTATAAATGCGACCTGTACTTTGTTTAGAATTTAACATGGACAGACGGACGGACATGCATAAATCGACTTAGAAAGTGATTTTATGCTTATTCGCAAAAGGAACCATGGGTCTATCTCGATTATTTTTGCCTATTACAAACATATGCACAAAGACATAATACCCTGTACCACAGTGTGGTGAAGGGTATAAATAGCATCTCTCGATCGTCTGCACATCGTCTGCAATAACGATTATCCCACGTTTATGTATGTAATTATAACAATTTATTGTGATGTAGCGGGCGGCTTTGGTTAGATCGATTTCAAATGTGCCGTTTTTTTTTTTTTTTGATGAGACAATAATATCAATATCAAAACTCTATGGAAACGATATTAATAGAGAATTTCTGCTCTTGTGTATTGCAGTGTTTAACAATTACAGACAATTTACATAAATGTAGATTAAGTTTTATGCATGACGTAATAGATTCGCATACAATGTCCTCCTATGGATAACATACCAAAAAATTTAATTATTAAAATTAACACCAAATCGAAAATACACACTCAACATACAGACAAATTTCCACATAAACTCTACTAGAAAGTCATTATAGTTCGGATATGAAAACCTCTGACATTATACACAAAAAACCAAATTACCATGACGTATACTTGTTAAAATGACCAAATGCCATAGCATTTTTTAATTTTATTTCAATTTTTTTCTTTTGATTTTGTAGCCAACCATTGACACCTGCTTGCAAGCCATCAAATGTTGTTGCATTTATTATTCTTTTTTTAATTTTGTGTTTTATTTTTGTCTGAATATAAATCGTATATACTACTTATATATAAACACGAGTTAATATTTTTGTATAATAATATTTATATATGTAATTGTTTTTTCTTAATATTTTACTTTTTTTTTAAATTTCCCCCTCTTAACCCAAAAACAAAAAATCAAACTCAATCCAACGAAATTGTGAACTTTGTGCTAAAAAAACAACAACAACAACCAAATAAATAAAATTTGATTACAACACTAAACCAAAAAACCGACGACTTACTTTTGTGAATGTCCGTCCTGTTATTTACAACATCAAAAATACGACTTTTCTTCAACATCGTCAACCAAATCTATATCCCAACCAACTCTGTCGCTATCGCTATCTCTTTTACACACACCTTCTACTCCCTGTGTCGCTATAAATCCCTGCCTATCAAACTGTTAATAAAAAAAACAAAAAATAATAATACATCTCAACTATTATCACACATCGCTCAATCGATCGCTGATGTGGACCGATCAGATTTGAAATTGCCATATTTGTGTTGATTTTTTTAAATATGTTAACCATGGGCATTGAGCACTACAATCAGCCGCATGCGGTATTTTTTATCCTCGAAGTTAGTAATGCATTCTTCACCACCGTCTTTGGCCTAGGTAAGTAAGACGTTCTGTGGCATAACTTCGTGTGTGTGTTTCTGTTTCTTTTTTGTTTTCTTGTGAGCCTAGTACACAAGTGTATTAATTGTAATTCTGTTGTTTTTTGTGATTTATTTTTTTTTTAATATTTCCCGGATTTGCTACGTCTTACGGTTACGCGGCTCATTTATATATTCACAACAACTATCACCATCTACCTACCTACCGATCCACCTCTACTCATTCACCCAAAACGCCCACATCATTCTAAACGAAACGACATTCACGCAGAGGCCATTGTTAAAATTGTCGGCTTACGTTATCATTATTTTACCGTCCCCTGGAATGTCTTTGATTTTCTGTTGGTATTGGCCTCGATTTTTGGCATTTTGATGGAAGACATCATGATTGATTTACCGATTAGTCCTACTCTGTTGCGAGTAGTTAGAGTATTTCGAATTGGCCGTATATTGAGATTGATCAAAGCAGCCAAAGGCATACGCAAGCTATTGTTTGCCTTGGTAGTGTCCCTGCCAGCCCTGTTCAATATTGGCGCTTTACTGGGTCTAATCACATTTATATACGCCATATTAGGCATGTCGCTATTTGGACATGTTAAGCTACAAGGTGCTCTAGATGATATGGTGAACTTCCAGACATTTGGCCGTAGCATGCAATTGTTGTTTCGTTTGATGACCTCGGCTGGGTGGAATGATGTACTGGAATCGCTGATGATCCAGCCGCCGGACTGTGATCCGCACTATAATCGGCAAACGAATGGAGACTGTGGCCATCCGCTGCTGGCCATAACGTACTTTACCAGCTTCATTATAATTAGCTATATGATTGTCATTAACATGTATATCGCGATCATTTTGGAAAATTTCAATCAAGCCCATCAGGAGGAAGAAATTGGTATAGTGGAGGATGACTTGGAAATGTTCTATATCAGATGGTCTAAGTAAGGCTCCTAATCCATACCAGAAATTTCTTCCAACGATCATAACCTCAACTCTCTCTCTCTCTCTCTTTCTGTTTCTCTTTTTCTCTCTATGTGTTTTTCTTTCTTTACCCGAACAAATATTTTCTCTCCCCGCCATATGTGTGTTTTATAACCCCCCCGAAACCCCCCACTTTTAAACCCACAACACTACACTAACAACAACAACATCTACAACAACACTTAGATATGATCCCCATGCAACACAGTTTATACACTTTGCACAACTTTCCGATTTTATTGCTTCTTTGGATCCTCCATTGGGTATATCCAAGCCCAATACCGTGGCACTGGTCTCTTTTAATTTACCCATTTCGAAGGGTAATAAAATCCACTGTTTAGATATTTTACATGCTTTGGTCAAACATGTTTTGGGTCATGTTGAAGAAACGGATAACTTTAAACAGTTGCAAGAACAAATGGATGTTAAATTCAAGAAGCAATTCCCAACTCGCAAGGAATTGGAAATTGTTTCTTCAACACGGATTTGGAAGAGACAAGAGAAAGCTGCCAAGACCATACAGAATGCCTGGAGGGAATATCAAAGGTGCGCGTCTCATAATTAATATGTTTGTCTCTCTCTTTCTCTCAATTTACAATCAACAACCAGACAATCACGATCCTGATTTAATATATTTGTATGTCTCTCTGTGTGTGTCCATGTGTTTGTTTCCGTTTCGTTTCTTTCTCTTCTTCCATTATTATTATTTTTTTGGATTCCTCATTTAACGTTAAACGTTTCCTGTCTCTGTAACGTTCTGTATACGTTCGTTCGTAAACGTGCACTCTGCCTCCTCCCCCTCCAAACAACAACAACTACTACTACTACTACCATCACACACACAACAACCACAGAAGAAAGAAGGAAAAGGAGCGCTCAAATTCGGGGGACAGTGCAACACAGACCTCAAGTCCAGGTGGCTGGCAAGCCCGTCTATCGTCGTTGAATTTCTTTCATTTACAGGCAAGTAACAACCAACCATAGAGCAACAACAACAAATACCCCACACAGGTAGGGTCCAAAACACAACATATTTTTTTCTCTGCTAACTCTCTAAACAAACAACAACAACAAAAACTCATACTTACTCTTGTCTGTCTGGCTGGCATAGGGATTTTGTTTTTTTTTTTCTTTGTTATTGTCTTCTTCAATCAAAGAGAGAGTATCCAACTGAGCTGTATCTTCAATTCAATTGTAGGGCTCCACCATTGAGAGACACTCTCGGCAGTGTGTCTCAGTAGTTGTTTTGAGCCCTGCCACCCCAAACTCAGTCACTATGAGGCATAAGGAAAATACTCACACACATATTTACATATGTCATCGTTAACATCCGTTTCGGTTAATGAGAGACATGTGTTTTGCACTGCAAATGGCAATGCATACGATTAATGAAATATGTCTCCGGTGCTGAGAGTGATATTTTTCTCAATGGAAAATATTTCTCACTTTTGTTTTTTTTCATTTGATTTTGTTATACTCAGTTGCCGTTGAGAGGCATTGATTCCCCCTTTTGTTTTGGTGGGGAATTAAATGTTTCGCAATTTAAAAGAAAGGAAAAAACTCTTTGGTGCTTTTTTTTTTTTTGAACTCGATATTAAGGCTCTCTTCTACTATGAATGTGAAATTTAAATATAAAACTACTGTTTTTATTTGCAAAAGGCTTCTTAAATAAAATATATTTTTTAAATATGAAAAAATAAAATATAATTATTAATGTGATATATAGTCTTGTGAGGATGACATTATTGTTCAGATCTTTTACAAATTTATTGTATTGTGATCATGATTAAATGTCATCATCAAAGATATAATTCCTGCCATGTTAATGGTTATGTTTCGATTTTTCAGACTATTTTTTATTATATTTATAAGTGTAAAATATATTAATATTGACATAAATATTACCAGTTGATTGTTTTCTGCACGTATTGTTACAGTTTAGCATGTTTTAGTTATTTAGTATATACAATTTTAAATATTTATTTTAATATAAATAAAATTATTTATTATTACAATATGTAGATTTAATATTTAATATTATTTGTTTAATATTTTGTACACAATATATATAAAAATATATCTATAAAATATTTTCAACATTTCTATATGGACAGAGATGTGGAAATGTTAAGGTAATTTTTTGAGTACATGACGAATGAAATGTGCAAGGTGAAGTAAATTTCATTATATTAATATAATTTATTTTATAGTAAAATTTTGAAGTTATTTCTTATATTAGATTTTTAAAAACAGATATATTTGAAAAAGACTAGACAATGTTCATGCTGAAATCGTGAAAACAATGGAAGGTAATATCGTTAAAAAAGTCATAAGGAGAGGGAATTTTCAAAAATTCCGAGTTCATCTAGTAAAGCTCCATGTAAACTCGACCAAGAAATATAAATGTAAAACTTTGAGAGTTGTTACAATAGAATATTTTTCTATCTGGAATTCGTTTTGGGCTAAAAAATAAATTGTAAAATAGGAGTAAACAGTGAGCGGAGCAGTATAGTCGGACGGGGCCGACCATATGATACCCTACACAACTACCACGGAACTCTAACTTTCTGCAGATCTATATCTATTTGATTAGAGGTCAACAGCTCCTATTTCTTGCCATGACATCTTTTTCGAATTATGTTTTATATCATAATATCCATTTTTTTTCATTTGGCCAGAGATTCATTCTCCAGTGTAACATTCTGCTTATAATTGTGGCATATAGATCGACATGATCATCACGATATTTGAAAGTGCGATAATGTTAATATTAGACAGTATCAGAATCAGAATTTTTTACCCCGATGATTAGAGTATAAAAATTCAGTCTGTTCGGAGTTAAAAAGTCAGAATCCTCTTAAAACAACCACACAAGTGGCAATGAAATAGATCTCTGTAGCATTCCTTGCCTAACTTTTTCCCTCGTTGCCGTCAGAAGGAAGCCTGCTGTCCCATGTGTGCCGGCGACCAGTGACTTGAGGACATGGGCAGTTCCTGCACTTTTTGTTTAGAGCTCTATATTTCAGTACTTATTCAACAGGTATAAAATGTTTGAGACTGGTTATTATCTTCTGATACTTAATTATAAAATTTCGTACCAAAACCGTATGCTACATTAGTACTAGTTAAATATTTTTAAATCCGCCAATGGTGCCTTATTCGGGATAGCTTTGGTATTTGATGGAATACATTATCTATATAACGGTATAGCCTGGTAATTATCATTACTATCGGTCTAGTTGGAATTCAGATCCTCTAAAGTCTAGTTGGAATATCAGTCTATTTGGAATTCAGATCCTCTTCTAAAACATATTTATACCCTTCACCACACTGTGGTACAGGGTATTATGTCTTTGTGCATATGTTTGTAACAGGCAAAAGGAATCGAGATAGACCCATGGTTCATTTTGAGAATATGCATAGAATCACTTTCTGAGCCGATTTATGCATGTCCGTCCGTCTGTTGATGTTAAATTGTAAACAAAGTACAGATCGCATTTATAATCCGATTTGGCTGAAATTTGGTACAGCTCATTTATTTGGCCCAAGGACGAACCCTATTGAAATTGGGAAAAATCGGTTCAGATTTAGATATAGCTTCCATATATATTTTTGTCCGATTTACGGACTATAGTCCCTGCAAATCATTCGATTTGCACGAATTTTGGCATAGCGTACTGAATTAAGTCTAGAAAGACATGTGCCAAGTTTTGTAAAAATCGGTTCAGATTTAGGTATAGCTCCTATATATAGTTTCGCCCGATTTTTGGTAAATGGTGCACCAAAGTCCCTGAAAATCATTTGATTTGCACGAATTTTGGCATAGCGTCCTGAATTAAGTCTAGAATGATGTGTGCTAAGTTTCGTGAAAATCGGTTTCTCCCGATTTTAGGTAAATGGTCTAACAAAGTCCCTACATACCTTTAGATTTGCACGAAATATGGTATAGCGTACTGAATTAGAACTAGAATGATGTGTGCTAAGTTTCGTGAAAATCGGTTCAGATTTAGATGTAGTTTTTTATACACAGTTTCGCCCGATTTTAGGTAAATGGTGCACCAAAGTCCCTGCTAATCTTTTGATTGACACGAATTTTGGTATAGCGTACTAAATTAAGTCTAGAATGATGTGTACACCTCCTATATATATTTAGTCCGATTATAAGTAAATTGTGCACTAAAGATCCACAGCTAGGCCGATTGACACAACGTTCTGAAATTAATATAAATTACTCTCTGGCAAGTTTGCTTAAAATCGGTTCAGATATAGATATATCGTAGCTTCCATATATAATTTCGACTTATTTATGTTAATTGTACACCAAATAATCAATAGGTGTCTGATTGAGATTAAATTTTAAACAGTGCAGCATACGGAATAGCATGTGTCAAGTTTGTTCTAAATCTGTTTACACAAATCTGTCCCACTGTGCGCAAACGACTCTAAATTTGCCCAAATGAAATGAAATTTAGCATAGGTTTCAGAAAGACATAAAAATCACATATTTAAGTTCGTTCAATTTCATGTCAAAATTCTTTCAAAAATGCGATGTCTTTTCGGATACAAATGTAGAATATACCCAAAGTGGTGAAGGGTATCATATAGTCGGCCCGTCCGACTTTACTGTTTTACTTACTGGTTTTTTTTTATTTTACGGACGATATTTTTAAGAGAGACGTTCCATTATTAATTTTCTAATAACGATCCTCTAAAGTTATATTTACTTTGAAGGTCATATTTAAAGAAGGTATATTTTAAAGAAAATGGTGGAAACTTGATTGAATATTTGGTGTTTTATGTTAACAAATTTAATGTCTTTGGGTTATGCAAATGCGAATTGCAATACTTTAAGGTAAAATATATTTATATATTTATTGTGTAGAGTATAATTATAATTTTATTTGCTTGCTGTTGCTTTTTGAATAGAAACAAATATAAGTCATTAGGAAATTGCATGAGAAGAT